GGGCCCTCCCCTATGTGTAGACTCTACATGTTAAACGGGTACCGGCTGCAGCGTGCAAACATCAGCACTGGGGGAATGCAGCCAGGCGTGGCGCTCGCGAACGTAACTTGCCCTAACAGCCCGCGCAAGGCTATCTGGGGGATCTTTGTCATGGTGGTTTCGGGTGTTTGCGATGAGTTTTTGTACAAAAATGCCCGTGGTATGTGTGCAGGGAACGTGTGTTCGTGCTGTGTGTGCGTGTTGCGGGTACGTGTTAGAGGCGCATGGTGTGCTGATGTGTACGAGTGCACTTGCCCCAAACGGCTGTTAAGGCTATACGGGGGGCGGGGATCTTTGCTCGACGAGACTTCTCACCCCCATCTGTAAATGAGGCTGCGTCACCCCAACGCTTAAATTCCTCCAATGACCCCCGATGCAATTCCAGAACCATCTCAAGGTCGCCCCGAGCATCGACAAGTTCCCCCGCGCCGCTCCCCTATCTCACTCGACTCCCCTCCACGCGCTCTCCACTCCAGCAACCAAAGCTTTCTCTCGAAGCCCCCGGTGGGCGCTCGCTCCTTCTCCTTTGCCACCCCCATCGCCTGGAACTCCCTTCCCCACGCCGCCAATGCAGTCGGCTTCCTGACACTCTTCTAGGCTCGCCTATGGTTGACGGCGTCTCTCTCGCTCCTCTCTATACAATTAACATAATTCACAACTTCTCTAAACTGCGCCCACGTTGTACGCTGCGCCGTGGGGCTGACCCCGGACACCTGGGGCTTGGGGAGGGTGTCTCCGTTGACCTATTCCCAGCGAGCTCTCACCACATCACGCGACCTAAAGCGCACCTAGCCTGGCACACAAGTGCCACGTTGACGTCACCGGCAAGCCTTTAGCCCAGACGCCCAGCCCTGCGGAGACGAGGAGCGATTCAAAACATCCAAATGTATTCGTAGAACACGCCACGAACAAAACACCCATTCACATCACGTCCGAACGGAGAGCGGTGTCACAGGACGGGTTACAGGACGGGTTGCTCGGCATTTTTTGTCAGCCGAGGCACGGGCCAGCAGCAGCAGCAGCGCCGCGTTCCGGGCTCGCTTGAGCGACGTGCAGAGAGATGGTCAACAGGAGCGGTGACCCAGATGACGCGGGCCCCGTGGCCTGACCTTCGCGCGAGCGATGCGAGCGATGCGAGCGCAGGGCGACTGCCAGTCGATTCGGGGGTTATTTTTCGCCGGCAAAACCGGAACGCCGACGAGCCATCGGCATTGTGACAATTGTACACGAAGACGTTTCCCTGGAGATGACCTCCAGCATCGAGAGCCGCGGCACGCACATTCCTCATCTTCCCGTTTGCCGAATCACCGCAAATCATTTGGCATATTTGCCCACGTGACAACCAATTGGCTCTGTCGCCTGATGATGCCAGTTGTAATGACCGGCGAAACGTCGTACTCGGATTGTAAATGTTGTGGATTTGCTCTCCAACACACAACCGGTGTGCTGTACTCGTAACGAATTGGCACGTTCTGGTTACGTGCCAAACCCCTTACTAATTGGTTGTGTCGGGTGGTGGCGAGTTGAACGACACATTCATATTTACGCGATCTAACCCCCCCCCCCCCAAAAAAAAGATGAGTTTGTGTTGTTTATTCGAGAAAGTGTTTGTCTATGCGAGTGTGTCCATTCGCATGTCAGTCTCCTTCATTTAACCAGTCGATGAACTAAACCCGTGGAGACACCTGGGGCTCAACACTGATGGGTCACGTGTGCCTGCGAGTCGCGGCATAACACGTCACGCTCGGGACTTAATAGATGCTCGCTAACAATACGTCACTCCAACAGTCTGTTAAGACTGGACAGGGGGTTTCTGAGCTTGTCGCGTGCGAGTGTGTGAGTCGTAAGAAGCGAGTCTCTGTGTGCGTGTATTGTGTGTGTAGTGTGCGAGTGTGTGTGTGTGTATTGTGCGTGTAGTGTGCGAGTGTGTGAGTCGTAAGAAGCGAGTGTCTGTGTGCGTGTGCGTGTATTGTGTGTGTAGTGTGCGAGTGTGTGAGTCGTAAGAAGCGAATCTGTGTGTGTGTGTGCACGCAGGGTGTGTACTTCTTAGTCGAACAGCGCGAATCTAAAAATAGCCGTCGGCGTTGACAGCCTGACAAATACAAGACCCCGAGTGCACGCTCGCCACTCCTCCCCACCACCACCTCCACCTCCTCCCCACCACCACCTCCTCCACCACCTCCTCCCCACCACCACCTCCTCCACCTCCTCCCCACCACCACCTCCTCTCCACCACCACCTCCTCTCCACCACCACCACCTCCTCCACCTCCTCCCCACCACCACCTCCTCCACCACCTCCTCCCCACCACCACCTCCTCTCCACCACCACCACCTCCTCCACCTCCTCCCCACCACCACCTCCTCCACCACCTCCTCCCCACCACCACCTCCTCTCCACCACCACCACCTCCTCCACCTCCTCCACCTCCTCCTCACGCTGCGCCTCCCCATCCGCAGTCGCCCGCTGCAGCGCGCCGCTTGCCCTGCGAATCGGCACAGAGACGCTGGTTGTGATCACCAGCGAAACGTCGTTCTCGAATTGTAAATGTTGTGCGTTTACCTTCGCACTAGAAACTAATTGGCACGTTCTGTTTACGTGACAAACCTCACTAATTGGCTGTGTCCAGTGGTTGGCGGATTTAATGACACATTTACATTTACGCGATTAAACACAAGCAACCCGTCATCATGGATGATCGTTGCCACGGAAGGCTGCCCGCGTTAGAAACTGGCCCCCCGTTTTCTGCCGTCGCCTTGCTCAGACACGCGCCGTGATTCAAATCCAATATTTTCTGCGAATGGTGAGAAACCCCATCGCGACACGAAACTGCGTCGCGCAGGATGACAACACAGAGATAGCAAGCAGACAAAGACCCCCCGTATAGCCTTAACGTGCTGTTGGGGCAAGTGCTGTTAGCGAGTAACACCTGTGAAGGCCGGCACGGCGCCCCAGGGGGCGGGTGGCCAGCACCACGCCCGAGGTGTGAAGCTCAAACACATCTGGAGGGCTCGACTCCCATAATGCTTTGCATGCATGTCACGTGACCACCACACCACGTGCGCAATGATCTCAGCCTTGTTAAAGCCACCAACTCGACCGCGCTGAACGTGTGCGGCCGTGTTATTGTTTCGGGCCGACAACTGAAACAAGCCCTGTTGCTAAATCGACACGCGCTTTCACGCACGCTCTGCCCGTTTGTCGGCTGTCTTTTTTTGCGACTCGCAGATGGCAGTGAGGCGGTGGGCGCTGAGCTGTTAGCTTCTGTTGTTCTCCCAATTCCATTCAAACATTTCCGTCCACTCGCTCGGTCAAGAGACCGAGCCGTGCGTCTTCGCGGACGCGGGTTTTGTTTAACATTTCACCACGACAGAACTTCTCGTTCTCGGGCTCACGGCGGAATGATTGGAACGCGTTTCGTGACGTCAGCCGGAGGTGCGATTGCGATGACGGTGATTACACGACGCGACGAGAGTTCAATAACACCCCAAGAGCTATTTATGCCCCGGGGATCGATCATAAACTAAATCTATAAAAACATAGTTTTCTAGGTAAAGGGTCCCCTGAGCTATTTAGCTTTACTTCAGAAGCGACCTGCCCACACATTATAGCTCAACGAAGTGGCTTCCCATGTGGAAATTCATAGCAGCCAGATAATCTCAACGCATGTTTCTAAATGTGGAGGGAAAAGCCGGAGAAAAATCCATGCGATCCCGGGGAGAGAAAAACACAACTCCAAATATACAGCAGCAGGCGTCAGGGTCGGGATCGACACGACGAACTCCTGTGTACCAGGCGAGGTAGTTAACATCTCCTAGCCACCGTGAATAATGGAGCCACCACTTGGAAGGTAAGGAGCAATGATTGTGGAATAGACGAACTTTCAGTGACGGACGCAATGAGATGTAAAAAAAGTGCACAAGTTTTGAGCTCTTATCGCTCATCAGCATGCCACGGCCGCTTGCGCAATCGCCGCGTGTCGTGGATGATGGTAATGCTGATGGTGCCTGGTGGTTGTTTTTTGATGAAAGCGATCAGTGAAGCTTGCGGTGACGTCACTGGAGTGCATCTCCTTCACGTCGCGCTCGTGTGTAATTGAGTGGATGAGTTGAGTCGCTGGGTGAGTGGGTGAATGAGTGTGTGTGTAAGTGATTGTGTGAGTGTGTGTGTGTAAGTGATTGTGTGAGTGTGTGTGTGTAAGTGAGCGGGTCAGTCACTTCTTTTCCCGACTTCCCTTGCTTGGTCCCCACATCCTCCCGAGGACGTCTGCGCTCCGCCACGAGCGCCACGCTCTGGCCTCATGACTCGTGCACGTGGCTGCGATCGTCACTGCTGCTGTGACGTCACTGCTGCCGTGACGTCACAGCTGCCGTGACGTCGCGGCTATCCGCTGCGTGTTCGGCTCCGGGCCGCGTGTTGTTCGGCAACTCTGACATTCTGACATTTCACTCCGCGTGCCGGAGGGAGCAGTCTCCAGTTTCTGAAGAAGCTTCGCGGCACCACCGCGAAAGAAACCCCCCTCTCCCCCCCCCATCGTGCACCGTAGAGATGAGAGGTCATGTTGGGACTCGCTGTCGCGTAGGAACCCCCGATGGACGATAATAGCGAGAGAGAGAGCGCGCTGTTCTCCAGCGGCGAATGGGGCGGCCTCCTGCGGAAAAGCCTCCGAGCGGAACGTGCGGCGATGGTCATCCTCACGATGCTCTAAGCATTGGGGGATTGACACGGCACACAATGCACTGCACACACAACAGTCCACAGTGTGCTACTGCTGCTCTTGCTGCTGCTGATGGCGATGATATGGCTGCTGATGATAGTGGTGGTGGTATTACTGCTACTGCTTATGATGACAATGATGCTGCTGATGATATGAAGAAAATGATGACAGCGATGTTGCCAGTTCTGCACATGATGATCAGAATGATGATGATGACAATGAAAATGATTCTGATTTCACGCAGGAGTGACGCTCACAATTCCGCTGAGCGTGCCTCCGTCCGCCGGCTCTCCGTTGCTCCGGGTCGCGTGTCGCAGTCCCCCAATGAGGGGGCCTCCTTATCCGGACTCCGTCGGACCCCGACCCTCAACCTCCCCTTCCGGGCCCCCCCGGCCCCCCCGATCTCCCATTTGGCCACCAATGGCTACTCCGCCTCGCCGCACGCGGCCACCACGAACCGCTCCTCCTTCTCCTCTTCAGAGAAAGCCGACTCCAACGGGGACCCTACCCCGGATTCCGGAGTCTCGTCCCCGCGAGGACTCCACGACGCCGACTACAACGACGACATCATCGACCTGTGCATCGCGTCCCCCGAGTCGGCTCCCAGATCATTGAGGGCTCCCGGGGAAAACCCCAACGAGCCGGACCGGCCACCCTCTGTTGCGGAGGACGAGGAGAAGGGCGACTTGGACAGCCAGGAGAACGGGACGATGATGATGACGACGATGATGAAGATGTCGTCGTTGAAGATGATGCGGAAGAACGGAGGAGGAGCCGGCTCATCGCTGGACCTGAGCGCCAGCGTCGGCAGCGGCAGCGACGGCGGGAGGAGGAGGCCGTCGCCCAGCCTCAGCCTGAGCCAGAGCAGCGAAACGTCGGGCCTCGAGTCGTGGGCCTCACAGGAGTCGCTCGACGACTCGCAGGAGGACCTCTTCCAGCGCGAGGTGAACAAGATCCGGCGCGGCAGCGAGGATTTCACGTTGGTGGAGATCAAGACGCCGGATGGTGAGATTGGGGGGCGGAGCTCGAGGGCCGCAGGAGGGTCGGATCACCGTGGGCCTCGACAGCCCGTTTAAGACGACATGCTTAATCTTTGTCTTTGCACCATCCAGAGAACGAGCAGGAGGCCGACTGGCTGAAGGAGACCGGATTCCTGACCCAGGGGGAGCGGCCGCGGGGGTCGAGCCGCAAGGACCGGACCGGAGCGGGCGGCGGCGGTGGCGACGGCGACGGCACCGCCGAGGACGAGCTGGGGCCGGTGGAATCGGACGAGGACGAGGAGTCGCACCCCGAGGAGCTGATGTCCACCCTGAGCGTGGCGCAGAGGATCACCGTGCAGAAGCGCATGAACAACTTCACGCAGTCGACCCGGGCGCCCGACAAGAAGGGCCCGCGGGACGTGCGGGACGTGTTCCTGAGCGCCGTCGAGGTGGGCGGCACCTACAAAGATCCCCCCCCCCCCGCCCCCGCCCCGGACCCTGGAGCCTCGACAGACTGTGGGGGCAAGCGCTGCTAGCGGGTAGCACCGGTGAAGGCCGGCACGGCACACGAGGGGTGGGTGGCCAGCACCACGCCCGGCCACGCTTGTCTCCCCAGTGACGATGTTTACACATCGCACCGAGTACTCATTTGAGGATGAGTCGACCTAGGGGGGGCAGGACCGGTTTAGATAATCGTCACTGGTGTTGGCCGTGAATGGGAATCAAACTCGGGTCACTGGGCTGCACACACACACACACACACTTATCCTCACCCCCCCCCCTTCCTCTGCTGACCCCGTGCCCCCAGGCGATGACCTCTGATCCCCAGGAGAGGAACCCCCTCACGATGCCCGAGCTGGCCATTGTGAGCCCGTCGGGGATGCTGAGCGCTTTCAAGCCGCGCGCGTCGCACTACAGCGTCAAGGACGCGGAAGGTGCCCGGAGCCACAACAACCACCACCACAACCACCACCACCACAACAACCACAACAACCACCACAACCACCACAACAACCACAACCACCACCACAACAACCACAACAACCACAACCACCACCACAACAACCACCACCACAACAACCACCACGACAACAACCACAACAACCACCACAACCACCACAACAACCACAACAACCACCACAACCACCACAACCACAACAACCACCACCACCACAACCACAACAACCACCACAACCACCACCGCAACAACCACCACCACCACCACCACAACAACCACAACAACAACCACAACAACCACAACAACCACCACTACAACCACCACAACCACCACCACCACAACAATCACAACAACCACCACCACAACAACCACAACAACCACCCCCACAACAACCACCACCAGAACAGGCCACAACAGATGAGTTGCAACGCGTATCCACGGTGATGAGTTGCGACGCGTAACCCCTGTGATGAGTTGCAACGCGTAACCCCGGTGACGAGTTGCAACGCGTAACCACGGTGATGAGTTGCAACGCGTAACCCTGGTGATGAGTTGCAACGCGTAACCCTGGTGATGAGTTGCAACGCGTAACCACGGTGATGCGACCGTCTCTGCCGCAGAGCGCCAGGCCGGCTCGGAGCGGCCTCCGCCGCCCGAGAGGCGTGAACCCCGCAGGGCCCCCGACCTCGGCCTCTTCCGCACGGACATCGCCTACTCGGAGCAGGGGAATGCCCCCCATGACGGCCCCCCCCCAGAACTCACCCCGGACACCAGGCTGCCCGTACGAGCCCCCCCCCCAATCCACCGATGTTGAGGACTCACTCACTCATTCACTCACCCACGCATTCACTCACTCACCCACTCACCCACCCACTCACTCACCAACTCACCCAATTACTCACCCACTCACTCCCCCACCGACTCACTCACCCCTTCACCCACCCACTCACTCACCCACTCACCAAATTACTCACCCACTCACCCCCTCACCCACCCACCCACTCACCCACTCACCCAATTACTCACCCACTCACTCACCCTCACCCACCCACTCACCCAATTACTCACCCACTCACTCATCCCCTCACCCACCAAACTCACGACACTGCAGGTCAAAACTCTTCTCTCTCTGCGTCTTCCCTCGCACTGCTCCGCTTTGGAATTCCCTTCCTTCCTCCTCCTCCTCCCCCCATCACCATCATCTCTTTTCCCCAAGCTCTGAGAATTCGAGACCCTCATCCACCACTCAGATTACCACCACTTCGGTAGTGCTGGTTGTAGCTGGCCGTAAACCAGCCCCTTGATGATGATGATCGCGATGGCGATGATGACCCATCCTGGGCGATTATGGAAACAGTAATATGATGGACCTCCTCCACTTCCTGCTCCCCCCCATCGACTCCCCCCCCCCCCCCCCCGCTGTCCGCCGCTGTGCAGGAGTTCTGCCTGAGCCAGGACTGGCTGGGCGCCACGCGCCCGGACGCGCTCTCCCCGCGCGACCTCACGCGCATGCGGCGCGTGGCGCTCATCGAGCTTACGGCGCTGTTCGACAGCCTCAGCCTGCAGCTCAAGCGGTGCAGGGCGGCCAAGGCCAAGCACGGAGGTGGGTGGCATGGTGTGGGTGCAGGGTGAAGGGTGGCATGGTGCGGCTGCAGGGTGAAGGGTGCAAGTGGCATGGTGTGGGTGCAGGGTGTGGGTGCAGGGTGTGGGGTGGCAGGGTGTGGGGTGGCAGGGTGTGGCTGCAGGGTGTGGGATGGCGGGGTGTGGGTACAGGGTGTGGGTGCAGGGTGTGGGTGCAGGGTGTGGGGGCAGGGTGTGGGTGCAGGGTGTGGGTGCAGGGTGTGGGGTGGCAGGGTGTGGGGTGGCAGGGTGTGGGGTGGCAGGGTGTGGGATGGCAGGGTGTGGGGTGGCAGGGTGTGGGGTGGCAGGGTGTGGGGTGGCAGGGTGTGGGGTGGCAGGGTGTGGGGTGGCAGGGTGTGGGGTGGCAGGGTGTGGGGTGGCAGGGTGTGGCTGCAGGGTGTGGGGTGGCATGGTCTGGGTGCAGGGTGTGGGTGCAGGGTGTGGGTGCAGGGTGTGGGGGCAGGGTGTGGGATGGCGGGGTGTGGGTGCAGGGTGTGGGTGCAGGGTGTGGGGTGGCAGGGTGTGGGGTGGCGGGGTGTGGCTGCAGGGTGTGGGGTGGCGGGGTGTGGGTACAGGGTGTGGGTGCAGGGTGTGGGTGCAGGGTGTGGGATGGCGGGGTGTGGGTGCAGGGTGTGGGGTGGCATGGTCTGGGTGCACGGTGTGGGATGGCGGGGTGTGGGTGCAGGGTGTGGGGTGCAGAGTTCAGAGTGCACCTCGCCTGGCACAAGCGTCGTGCTGTTGCTATTGACCACGTCTACGGTGCCGTCTCTCCCGCAGACCAAGCCGTGTTCGGGGTGCCCCTCAGCGAGCTCCTGGAGCAGGACCGGAGGAGAGAGGAAGGAATCTGCGTGCCGCGAATCCTGGAACAGGTGAGCACACCACTCACACTGCACTCACGTGGCGCCCTGGAGGAACCATACCCACAGGCACGTTTACAAGGTGCGCCCAGGAAGGGATACTGATCGATTGTCAAAAGAAAGAGGATGGAGTGTGTGCCAAGGGGAGGAATGAACCCAAGAGGGCGTCCAACGGGGAGATGGAGCGAAGAGATCAGCTCGTGCGCTGGTGCCGGGTGGATTGTAGCATCGCGGGGTCGTGAGAGGTGGCGACGGCTTGGGGAGGCCATCACACAGCAGTGGATTGATCATGGCCGATGACGATGACAACGACGCAGAAATTCTGGTGAAGCCGCGCCCACAGGCACATTTACAGAGCGCTCCGAGTGGGGACCGTCTGCCTCACCGCGGGCGTTAAAGAGCCCGTGACGTATTCCGCAAGAGTCGGTCATTATTGCTTGGCAGTCTCATGGTTCACATTTTTCCGAATATAAAGAAATCACCACAAATTACTCAAATAAGATTACAGAAAACTTAATGCAAAGGGACCATCACCCCCTACTGGCAAACCTCAGAGCTTGGGCAATTGCTTGCGCCCGTGTGTGGAGGTCGGGGTAGGGTTGACCCCGTGTGACCCCGTGTGACCCCGCTGCTCTCACAGCTGATCCAGCACCTGGAGAAGCAGGGACTCGACCAGGACGGGATCCTGCGTGTGTCGGGCAACGCGGCGAGGGTGAAGGTGAGTGACGGGGATGAGGGGGTGGGTGGGGGGCATCATCGTGCTCATCTTTGGCATCATGGCCACCACGATCATCGTCGTCACCACAGTCATCACCACGGTCACCATGACAGTCATCGTCATTATCATTCTGTAATCATCGTAAACGATCAACGTCATCATTATCACATCATCGCTTACGATCGTTATCGTTACCCCCATTACCACCACCATGATTGGTGATGATTGGCATCACCACAATTACAATCACTACCACCACTGCCACGATCATCGTTGTTGTCATGATGACCACGATCAACGTCATTATCATTGTTACACAGCAACATCTATACAATAATTATCATCACTGCAGGTCCTCATCATTACCATCCTCACTACCACCAGCAGCACCGACACTACCACCACGATCATCATCATCATGGCTGTCCATCCTCCTGTTCTCCCTTGACCCCCAACGCTCCCGTGACCCCCCCCCCGTGACCCCAGGCTGCGCGCAAGCAGTTGGACAATCCGCTGACGCGGGACTCGTTCGCGTGGGGGCAGCTGAGCTCTGCGGATGCAGCGGCGCTGCTGAAGATGTTCGTGCGGGAGCTGCCGACCCCACTGCTCACCGTGGAGTACATGATCGCCTTCGCTACCGTCACCAGTGCGTAGACACACACGTGTACATGCACACACACACGTGGACACACACGTGTACACGCACACACACACGTGGACACACACGTGTACGCGCGCACGCACGCACGTGATCACCTTCGCCGCCGTCATCAGTGCGTGTACACACACGTGCATATACACCCGTCCATGCACATTCACGCGGCTATACGTGCACACTGGGGCACGTTCAATATGAACTAATCATCGGTGTGATGTCGCTCACCCCTCCCCCCCTCTCCCTCCCACCGTCCTCACCAGAAATCAACTCGACGAGACAGAGAATTCAAGCGCTCAACCTGCTCGTGCTGCTGCTGCCCGACGCCAACAGGGACACGCTGGAGGTGGGGGCCGTGGGTGACGGTGCGGGGGATCTGGGGTCTAGTGGGTTGGAGGTCACGGTTGGGGTTCGTGACCAGGGTCTGGTTGGGCAACGTGGGGGGGGGGGGGGGGGACAGTCGAGGTGTGTGTGGGGGGGGGCATGGCGGCTAGCGCAATGAGCTACAAACCCGGTGACCCGAGTTCGATTCCCGGCCACGGCTAGCCAGGCACTAATCCCGCTGAGCTTGCAAGATCTGATGACTTCGGAAGATTTGGTGGCAGGTCCAACGCCTGCGCCTCTCCCAGGTTCACTCGGAACACCTCCAGCCCTCCCGTCTCCTACATCCTGTCTATGACGATGAACAAGTAAACGCAAACCCTCAGATCTTGAACATATCGATAAATGCTCTAAAACCTCTGCCCTGATTCCTCCACCCCCCGCCCCGCCCCACGCAGGCGCTGCTGCTGCTGCTGGGCAAGGTGGTGTCGCAGGAGCAGCAGAACCGCATGGGGCTGGGCAACGTCGCCAAGATCGTGGCCCCCAACCTCTTCATGCCCAAGGGGCTGCGCGGCGTGAGCCGGGAGTGGGCTCAAATGCAGGCGCACGCCGACACGGCGGACGTGGTGGCTTTCCTCGTGCACTACCGCCACATCATCTGGACGGTGTGCCTGCGGCCGCGGGAGGAGGGGGTCTCTGTGTGTGTGTTGGTGCGGGCGGTGATGGTTATCTGAGCCGGTCGTGGGCCTCCCCTAGGTCGACTCAGCTTCAAATACGTACCTGTTGCGGTTGGTAAACGTCGCCACTTGGGGAGATAAAAGCGGCCGGGCGTGGTGTTGGCAACTATCAGGTTCTCGCCAACAGCACTTGCTCCAATAGTCTGTTAAAGGCTATAGGGGGCGTCTTTGTCTTTGTGAAGATGTAATCGTGTACGTTGTGTGTGCGTGTGTTCACGTGTTGCTCAGTGTGTGCACTCCTGCGTGGGTGCCGAAGGCAAATCTAAAGTACAGCGATGGAGCAAATAGAAAGGGGCGCAGAAACAACTGCTCTGCCGCATGGGAAAGCGAAGATATTGCACAAAACATGTTCGATCATAAATTCCCTGCGAGGCGAGCTGACTCGGGCAGATTATTTTTAGACTGACCATAGTTACAATAACGATGAGTTACAGAAGCATTACGCAGACACAGGGCTGCTACTGGAGTAATTTTCCATTGAACGCCCATTCCCCCTCGCCCCCCCCCCCAGGTCCCCGCGTTCCTGCTGCGCCAGGTGAGGGAGCAGAACGAGCTGAGGCAGCGGCACCGTCAGAAGGAGCGCGGGGCCAACGCGGGGGGGGGGCTCAGGTTCCTGAGACGCATCCAGGGGGGGCGAGAGGGTGCAGCACCACGGACCGATCCTGCACAGGTGGGAGGCGGCACTGCTGATGATGATGATGCTCCTGATGCTACTGATGCTGCTGCTTATGCTGCTGATGATGATGCTGATCCTGGTGATGATGATGATGCTGCTGCTGATGCTACTGATGCTGCTGCTGATGATTGATGCTTCTGATGCTGCTGATGATGCCGCTACTTCTGATGACGCCGATGCCGACGGTGTGACGTGTCGCGCGAGCAGCCGAGCGGCGTGATCTCGGTGAGAGGCGACGAGTGGCTCCGCGTGCCCGACCTGCCCGTGGACCTGGTCCGCGGCACCACGGCGGGCGACGTCCTCGCCTGCTTCGAGCAGCACGTCCTGCGCCACAGGTGGGGGGGGGGGGGCGTCTTGTCTCCGCGTCTTGTCTCCGCGTCTTGTCTCCGCGTCTTGTCTCCGCGTCTCTTTGCGCGTCTGTCTGTGATTAAAATGGTCGATGGTACAAACAACACTGCTTACTTTGAATTTGCTCTGCGTTTGACGAATTTACAGCTCTGACAATGATATATCTTGGGCTGACTGTCATGCAAATAGCATGGGAGAGTCTCAGCCCCTGTTTGTGTGGAACAGAGGTCACGTGACGGGTTCTCAGAAACAGTTTCCGGGGTTTTGCTTCTGTGGGTCTCCCGAATATGTTGACATCTTTCCCACCACACAGAGCCAACTGTGCTCATCGAAGGTGCATCATCATCATCATCCAATATGATGATGATGGATCGTGTGTGCCATGACGATGATGATTATGTATAGTGTCTGATGATGACGATGATGATGACGATGATGATGACGATGATGATGACAATGATGATCATGTATAGTGTCTGATGATGACGATGATGAACATGTATAGTGTCTGATGATGACGCTGCACTCTCTCGTCCCCCCTAGGGGAGAGCTGCGCTTCAAGAGCTCGTTCCTCGACGAGTGCTGCCTCTGCGAGACGAAGGGAAACATCGGTGAGTGGAGCCTTGCGGCGGCAGGGAGCCTGTGGGCCATGGACCCCCCCCCCCACCGTGACCCCCTCGTTACCGTGACCCCCTCGTTACCGTGACCCCCCCCCCCCCCGTTACTGCGACCTTGGTCTCTTACGGCAGGAGAGGCCGATCGCTTTCTGCTCATCGTGGTCCACGCCGTCGCTTCCCGGGTTGGGCCTCTCGGCCGCTCTACCTCCCCCCACCTCACCCCCCCCACCTCACCCCCCCCACCTCACCCCCCCCCCACCTCACCCCCCCCCCCACCTCACCCCCCCCACATCCTTGCCGTGGCATGAACCCTCCACGTGGAGGCGCCCACCACAAGTGCGAGCAGCAGCCCGTTGCTCTCGTGTCCACGTCTCGTGTCCACGTCTCTCGTGTTCACGTCTCGTGTCCACGTCTCTCGTGTCCACGTCTCGTGTCCACGTCTCATGTCCACGTCTCTCGTATCCACGTCTCTCGTATCCACGTCTCTCGTGTCCACGTCTCTCGTGTCCACGTCTCGTGTCCACGTCTCGTGTCCACGTCTCTCGTGTCCACGTCTCGCCGGCGCGTCACCGTGGCGGCGGCCGCTGTTCGTGTCCCCCCAGACGAGCGGATTCTGGACAACGGGGCGCGCATGATGGAGCTGTGCGCCGTGAACAGGAACGCGGAATGGGTCGTCAAGCACCGACTGAAGCGGGTCTCAGCCTAGCGCGGCTCAGATCGGACCGGGTCGGACTGGAGCCCAACCTCTGCTTATACCGAGAATTGGGCTGGCAGTGCAGTGACATCCATTGTCACCCTGCGCTTCTCTGCTCCCCAACCCGAACTGACCAACGTGTTGACATCTGGTCAGACAACCCCCACGAGCTGCAACGCGTGGGGAGGCCGTCACCCAGCAGTGACAAAGAGCCGCGTGTGTGCGGCATAGAGACTACACTTCTCGACGGAGCCTCGCGGACAGCTAGCGAGCAGCTATGAAGGTCGGGGTGACACGGGGCGGAGTGGTGCCACCAACACTTCAGGCCGAGCCGATCTGGATGAAGGCCAGCACAGGTTCAGATCACGTGTTCAGATCACGTGTTCTCACTGATGTCGCCAGGAATCGAACTCAGGTGACGGGGTTCAGAGCGCAGTGCGCTGCCCAAAGTGTATCCACACACCACGTGTACAAAGACACGCACAAAGATCCCTCGTATAGCCTTGATAGACTGTAGGGGCAAGTGCTGTTAGCGAGCACCTATGAAGGCCGGAACGGTACACGAGGGGGTGGGTGGCCAACACCACGTCCGACCGCCTTTGTCTTTCCAGTAGCGATGTTTACACACCGCACCAGGTACTCATTTGAGGCCCAGGACCGGTTCAGATAATCGTCACTGGTGTTGGCCGTGAGCGGGAATCGAACCCGGGTCGTTGGGGGGGTTCATAGCGCAGCGCGCTAACCGCTACACTATCACACGCACAGACACACGCACAGACACATGCACAGACACATGCACAGACACATGCACAGACACACACAGACACACACACACAGACACACACACACAGACACACAAAGACTTCCTGTGTAGCCTGCACAGGCTGTTGGAGAAATGCTGTTTGCGAGCACCTATGGAGGCTGGTGTGGGCAGCTCCTTGCCTGGCCGCCTTTGTCTCCACAGCGAAGTGGACCTATGGGAGGGACCCAGGACTGGTTCGGATCAGTCGCCACTGACGTTAGCCCTGACTCGGGTTTCCGAGTTTGTAGCGCAGTGCGCTAATCACTGCTCCACCACGCCCCAAATATACAGCCACACATACACACAAATATTCACGGACACACATACACTCAATGCAATGATATTAAGAGCTATGATACAATGCGAATATATTAGTATGTTATAATTTTAAAAAAAAATATATAAATAACCTACATTTACATAGTATATATCGTATATCTGGAATATAACGGAAGTATATATGTGCAGTGCATACATATTAAGACCACGTGTCCCTCTCCACGTGGCCTGCGTGCAATGGGTATGACCACCGCATCTGTGACTCGCTCTGTGGTGGGGCAGAGCGTGGGTCCTCGCCAACCTCCACGCGTCACTGCCGCCAGCACTTCGTGTGCGGCGCGTCTGGGACGCGGCGAGCTGGTGACACCGTGACCCTGATGCCTGCCCTGACCATGACTCCTCGACCTCGCGAACCCCACGCATTACCTCGCCCCACCAGCCCAGCAGTCGTAAGCTTTTATGAAGTCACGTTATTGTCATTGTCACCATCATCGACAGTGGCATCATTAAGGAATAATCATCCGCAGCAGCAGCATAATCACGAGCAAAATCATCATCGGTGATTATAATCTGACGCCTTTATCTGGCTCGACCAGCTGAATGTGAAATTGTAGTTGAAGCTCTGCATCTTCATCAGCCATACGAAAGAAGAAGTGATCATAATCAGTAGCAGCAGCATCATCAACAGCAGTCGCATCAACAATGTGTGTACATATGTTGAACGTAGCCAAGCGTGCTCATCGGAGGTGCAAATCATTGTGCACGGGAGCATCATGGACTTGGCAGGACCCTCCTGGCTTGAGTCTCGAGACTCCTGGCGAACCACGTGATCATCGTCATCATCTCCACCAGGCTCGTTTGCCATGGATTCGCTATGGTCTCACCCCCCCCCCACCATGCACCCCCACTTTCTCCACCGTCCACGCCCCGACTTCTTCCTCCCCCCACCCATGAAGAGAGAGGAGAGATTTCCGCACTTTAGCTTCAGACCGTTCTAGAGATGATGATCGTGATGATGATGTGTAGAATGAAGTCTCGTCATCTCCGCGGCTTCGGCTTCGTCACTGTGAGCCGGGCCCTAACCCTGACCCCAGCCCAAAGGCCGGCCGGGTCAGGCATGGCCAGGGCTGCGTGTCCCTGCGTAGTCACGCTAGCAGTGGAGAGGCGCCCTGATGTCCCAAGCTCCTGGTCTCTCCAGGTCTCCGATCCCTCCCCGGTACCCGTGGTGGTTGTTCTCAGAGCCCCCTGCTCTCTCGACTTCTCCCCCGATCTCTCCGATTCCCTTTGTTTCCCCTTATTGTCTGCTGATCCCCTTCCTCAGCTCCTGATCGCCCTGGCTCCCCTCTGATCCACCTCGTTACCCCTGCTCGCTCTCTCTACTCCTCTTCCCTCTCTCTACTCCTATTCCCTGACCCTCTCCCTGTGAGCTCCCCTGATCTTCTGATTTGCCGCATTCTCAAGATTACAGACACGATCGCCCGACTTTTGCTCTAACATAGAGTGCGTCCGTCTCCTAATCGAGAGAATACGGTAGCCCATCACGACCCCCAGCAGCTCAGTGCTCGTCTTACAGTGTTGGTGACGCGTCGTGTGAACATATCGCTGTCTATTCCGTATTAACGATCACACGCGTCGTCTCGGTGAATGTTATTATATTTTGTAACGCGGAGAGGTCGTGGTTTTGGACAATAAAAGCCAAGAACGTGCTTACTTGGTGGACTCCCCTGTTTATTATTATTATCATCAGCCAGTATCTTTCCACTGCTGGATGAAGGCCGCCTCCCCACCCCCCCCGGGACTCGCGGCGCTCCAATCCACTCTGCTCCTGGCGCCACGGTGGCTAGGAGATGTTGACTACCTCGCCTGGTGTGCAGGAGGTCGTGGGTTCGATCCCGGCCCTGACGCCTGCTGCTGTGTATTTGGAGTTTGCGTCTCTCTCTCTCTCATCATCATCAAGGTGGTAGGAGATGTTAACTACCTCGCCTGGTGTACAGGAGGTCGTGGGTTCGATCCCGACCCTGACGCCTGCTGCTGTAGATTTGGAGTTTGCGTTTCTCTCCGTGGTCGCGTGGATTCTTCTCCGGGTCCTTCGGGTTTCCTTCCACATTTAGAAACACGCGTTGTGAGTGTTTGGCGACTGCTATACATTTCCACGTGATAAGCCACTTCCTTGAGCGACCATTTGTGGCCAGATCACTTTTGAAACAGAGCGCCAGAGTGGGCCTTACCCGGTAAAATAAAATAGTTTATAGTTTTGATCTTGCTGATCCGCCATCGTCGTGGTGACGCGATCGAGCGGCAGGCGAGTTCACTGCTCGCTGCAGAGACTCGCGGTTCGAATCCTGCGGCCGCCCCGATCAATACCGCGGGCGTGCGCATTCACCGTGACGATACTCCGCGCCGCTTGCTTCCCAGTGGACGTTAAAGATCCCGTGGCGTCTAGTGCGAGAGGAAGCCACTGTGTGCGTCGGCGTCACTTATCAAGATTCGTCAAATAAAAAACTCAAATTACCGCAAATTACTCGATTGAGATTTACACAGTGATCACACCCCGCCTCTCCCATTACAAACACTTGGCAGGAGCCTCCTGCAAAAGTCATGGTGCTCAGTGAGGCCTTCCGTGCCCAGCTCCAGTCTTGATGTTTACCAGAGGTGGGACAAAGTCATTGTTATGCAAGTCCAAGTCGAGTCTCAAGTCATCAAATTCATGACTCGAGTCTGACTCGAGTCCAAGTCACATGACTCGAGTCCACACCTCTGATGTTTACACATCGCACCCATTTGAGGCTGCGCCGACGTAGAGGAGATCCAGGACCGGTACAGATAACATAATCGTCAATGGTGTTGGTGGCCGTGAGCGGGAAGCGAACTCGGGTCGCCGGGTTCGTAGCGCAGCGTAGCGTAAACCACCGCGCCCCAACACACACGCACCCTCACACACTGCGCACAAGCGTAGCGCTAATCACCGCGCCCAACACACACGCACCCTCACACAACACTGCGCACCAGGAGCCAGGGTCCGCGCTTTTAATGGAGCTGCTGACTCGACAACTCTCTCGCCCGCCAAAGCCGCGGCCGAGGTGAACCCGGCGGAACGCGCGCGACACAAACCGCGAACAGAGACGTGGCGCGAACGTGGTCGTCTCTCCTGTACCGCACTGGGAGCTCTCCCTGCGTGTCTTTCTCTCTCTCCACAAGACAACTCGCTTTGGTCAGACTGCCCCTCCTAATGCCCTCTTCACATCTCCCTCCTCCTCCTCCTCCCCCCTCACCCGTTACTCGGGCAGCCTCGCCCCTTGGCCCGCATCACGAGTCGACCATGACGCCAGACGATTTTCAACCGGGGGACAAAATTCCGATTTGCAAAAAAAGCTTTGGGACACCATAATCATCATCATAATCATCACGATCTCCATCAACATGATCACCATCATCATCATGATCATTATTACCGTGGTAATTATCACCGTCGCGGTCATCACCATCCTCATGATAATTACCATCACCATCGTCACCGTCATCATCATCATCCATGACCGTGATATCACGATCATCAATGTCATCGGCCCGCTGTGAATAATCATCGAGGATTGTCCGCGCGTCGCGTGCAGTGACCACGTGTGGCCACGTGGCGGCGCGGCAGGCCACGTGTTTGAGTCGACGAAAGGGACGTATTGTCACAGTATTGATTTCCGAAAATATATTTAACGCATGTAATACATCATCAATTACCGACAACATATTAAATAATTAATTTGATATTATGTCACTACTTGAGGACATATTAAACATGTCCACGAAATATATTGCCGGAAATCATACGGAGCAACGCAAATGCCATTCGAGGCGGACCCTTGTTGCTGATTAGGCAATGCCTGCGCTCGCGACACCGACCAACTGATTCGCATTCAATTATCGCCATCTGACCCAAAGGCTCTGTCATGAATCAAGTTGTCCGCCACAGCACACGCGTTAAAAATCGCCTCTGTCACTCAAACACGGCGTGGTGGGGTCTTCTATTGATCAACGCGGAAAGCTGGCCTAAGCTCCGATTGGCTGAGCGCAGTGGCCAATATAATTGAAGGGCGGGATCGATGAACGGCGGCCACGTGGTTGGCCGTGGATTCGAAGGACGGAGACGAACGGAGGTGCCAGGGTGAGAGTGGGGAGCCGGGTGGATTTGAATGCCCGGCAGCCGGGGTCTTAGCCGCGCTAACTCTGCCGTGGCTCGGCACTGTGAAGGTGGGAGTAGCGCGGAACCAGAGGCGCACTGCTCTTGGCGCTCCGGCTCGTGGCACGTCGCCAGAATCCTGCTCCTCTTTCCCCCACAGGACGAGCAGAGGGGTCACGCCCCTGGCACCCTTTCCCGTGGTGGGGGGCCGGTCACCAAATGTAAAGTCGAATTGTTGGAGAGCAGCACACGCTTGTGGCAAGTATAAAAAAGGTGTCCGCCTGCTGTGCATCCAGACCCTGCAACGCGATAGGAGTCAAAGATAAAAGTGCAGCCTCTGCAATTCCTTGGGTTGGGGGGCATTGCCAGCATCTATCCGTGCTGGTGGTGGCCTTGGTGCCGCGTTAGTGCTGGTGCTGATGATGGCGACAATGATGGTGCGGAATCTGCTGATGGCGGTGATATTTTTTTGGTCCTGGTGATGGTGCTGCTATTACAGGTGATGTTGGTGCTCATGGTGCTGTTGATGGTGCTGCTTCTGCTGTCATATTTACAATGGTGTTGATGCTGCTGGTGATGCTGGTGGTCCTATTGGCAGCGGTTCATTGTGGCTCTACTGCTGCTGATGTCGTCGGTGTGGGGCTGGGCACTGCTGCCCGGGTCTCTCTCCTGGTTCCCACACCCCACGTGAGGCTGGCTCAGAGCGGCACGGTCCCCCAGCTGTGGAACTTAAACCCCGCACACCAATTACACTCAAATGCACCACACACTCGAAAACTGGTGGGGTGGTGGGGGGCGTGGGGGGAGTGTCTCAGTTATCCCTTTTCCATTGGAACATCCGAGCTGAGCAGGGACCAAACCGTGATGCGCTGGCCTCGCAATAAGTCATGTAAATGTGGCTCGGGGCCAAGCAGGGGCGGGTTAATGATGCGTTCGTTGCGTGCGACGTGCATCTCCACTCGTTAACTGCGCATGACGTCAGTGGCGCGGTACTGTTTCGGTGGTGGAAAAAGGACCCTGGCGCCAGCAGAACCGTGCCGGGCTGGCTCGGCGCGGCTTGGTTGTGCAGTGGAAAAAAAGACATCGGAGGTGACGTGACGGCCGTGAATTCCGGGTGCTCGCGTGGACGAATCTTGCGACAGTGAAACAGAAATAAATCCGCGGTGGCGGAGACAGGTCGAGACAAACACAAGCGTGCGGAGAGGCGTGCATACACTCGCCCGCACGCGCACGTAAACACGTTGGGAGAGATTCTGTACAAAAATAAAAAAATAAAATAAAACCACCGTCGTGTCCGCAACACGACGGTGTCTTCGCTTCATCTCGGGAACGGCGACGATGCGGGGGCCCGGCTCACCGAGCGTTTACCAATTGTCGGCGTTTTGATTTTCTTGTTAAAAAGCTCGTTTTGTGAATAACATTTTGCACAATAAGCACGACGAGGCGCCACAACCAGTATAAAAAAAGCGAAATGTCAAAAGCCCGACGAAACGCGTTATTTTCTGCGTGTGAATCCGCTCCGTAAATCCACAAAACTTCGGGTGAAATATAATTACACAACTCCCCCTCCGCTAATTGCGGCCTTCGTGAGCGGCACGGCGCACAGCTGCCTTGGAAACCGGGACGCGTAACTAAACCCCCGACGCGAGGATTCGTAACAAAACGACGTAAACGCTCAACTACAAAAATAGCGCGCGCTCGCGCGTCGGCGAGACGGCGAGATGGAGCATGCAGTGTGCGGGGGCCGTGGGTGGCAACAGCTGTCAGGCCACAGCGCTGCAATGACGGTGGCCCGCCCGCCCAAATAACAAACCGCTCGCCCGTGAGCTCACCAGCTGTAGCTCGTGAGCTCGCCAGGTCGCTTATAAGCTCGTCAGGTCACTTGTAAGTCCGCCAGGTCGCTCGCCTGGTTGCCCTCCGGCCCAGGGGTTCGCTACGACGCTCCGGCGAGTTCACCAATCCAGGCGTTGGCTCACGCCCGATCCTCGGTAAGCTCACCGGCTCATCCATCTGCCCCCCCCCCCCCCCCCGATTGCCTATCGAGCTCACCGGCTCGCCCGCTCACGCGCTGGTGAGCTCACTGTTGCCCCCGCAGTGCGCGTGTAAGCGTGCAGGGTGGGGCCGCCCGCCAAGGAATGTCCACCACGGGTTGAGTCGGGGTCAGGACCTCTGCGAGCTGGGGTAGCCGGAGTCTATCCAGACTCCAGGTACTCGAGGGCGATGTCGTAGCAGAACTGGTACTGACTCTGCGGGGTATGGAGGGTGGGGGAGGGCAACAGGGAGCACGCAGACGTGGTGGCGTCGATGCACGTTACTCACTCCATTAACACCCACGCGCGTGTGTCCGTGAGCGTGCGAGTGAATTAGTAAGCCGGTGATGACCGGGCGGACGAGCGGCTGGATGAATAGGTGAATAGGTGGGTAGACGGGCAGCCGAGTGAGAGGATGAACCGGGATGGCGTGCAGCCTCACCAGCGAGTCGACCATGTTGGCCTTGTTGTTGCGCAGGGCCTTGACCACGCAGAACACGTCCACCGCGTTCTGTCTTCGGATCATCTCGCACACGTTGGTAGCGGCGCAGAAGAGGCCGGTCCGCCCCGAGCCGTTACTATGCCGCGGCCACACGCACACCGCACCATCGCGTGCACACACACAGCAACCATCGCACGCACGCACACCACATCAAAGCGGGGTTGTTAAAGCGGCGACTGGGCAGAGAGCTCGGCACTCGCTGGACACGGAGCGGCTTCCACTCAGAGTGCCCGCTGTGGAGGTGTTTGGGAGTCAAATCGCTCCGAGCGCGTAGACAGAGATCAGAGCACCAGCGGGGATGACCTCCAATAAAAAAATGGAGGACAGAAACGATGCACGTGTAATCTGTGCACAGAGGAAACTACATTTACTGATTTACCGATTTAGCCGGGAGAATTGTAGGATTAGGGAAGTCCTGCTGCTGCTGCTGCTACGTTGGGTGGTTATGTTTAATGACGAGCGTTCTGTATTCGTGTGGGAGGAAACCGAAGCACCCGGAGAAAACCCACCGCTTGCGCAAGGGGGCAACGCTCTATCCCCGTACTGACAGAAGCTATACCGCCATCTCCTGGAGTTTCACAACAACATCTTCATCATCGGTGTTGTACGAGCCACACACGGAGGCAGAAGGAACGAAACGTCATCTGCTCCCTGTCATCATCATCATCTTCTTTATTTTCATCACCCCCCTCTCTTCATCCTCCTGCTGCTGCTTATCATCCTCATTCCGAGCTCTGCTCCCATCTGTTAAACCCTCTCTCACCTCGCTAACATTTACTCCGGTATAACGCTATAAGTGGCGGCGTGACTTATGTGCATACCTGTCAATCCATACAGTGTACCTGTATTCTTGTATAGGGAAATTTTGTCTATTTGTTTGTGTTTATCCCTTGTCTTGGGACTTTGTAAGATGAACGTTGAGATTTATAAGGGCACGGGGTGACCAATACGGTCTGAATTGGTCTGTAATAAGGTAGGGCACTGATAAGGGGTTGACAGGTATGGATGTGGCGGAAAATATTTGAATATATTATTGAAAAACATTTAAATAATTTTCTCTCTCCCAAGTGAACTCGCCACGCACCGCTGCTGCTCCTGAGAGTCCAATGAAAGCCGGAACTCGTGGTGATTATCCCTGCGGGTTTAATAACCGCGACGCCAGATTATTTACGTTTATTGCCTCCACTGCTCCGCATTACGCCCCCATCTCAAAACATTAAAAACCAAAGCCACAGCTACAAAGCTACAGCCGCCGCCGCCACCGCCACCGCAGCCAACACCGCCATCACCGCCGCCACCACCACGACCACGGCTGCCATCACCATCACCACAGCCACCACCGCCGCCATCAGCATCACTACCATCACCACCACCACCACAACCACAACCGCTATTACCATCACCACCACCGCCACCATCACCACCACCACCGCCGCCACCCATCACCACCACCACCATCGGTCCAATCACAACCACGATCACCACCATCACCACCACCATGACCATCGTCACCACCACCATCAATGGCTCCGTAACGAATAGCGATGGCCGCTAACCCCGCCACTGAGTGGCACGCCCGCTGAGTTTCTAGCAACCCGCTCCATCCGCCATCGCCAGCAGCGATCCTCCACTCTGCCTGCCTCTCTCCGCACCCCACGACCTCCTCGTCGTCAGCCACGATCTATCCACTGCTGGATGAGGGCCTCCCAAAGCCACCACCATCTCACATGGCCTTGCAACAAAACAATACTCGGTACACCATGCATACGGTGTACATGGTGTACACTATGTACACACGGTGTACACGGTGTACGTGGTGTACGTGGTGTACGTGGTGGACACGGTCTCCACAATGTACATGGTTTACACAGCATATGCACATGGGTACGTGCATGTACGTGCGTGAACGTGCGTGCGCGTGCATGCTTGTGAACGTGTGTGTGCGTGCTTGTGTGTGTGCGGCACCCACAGGCAGTGTGCCAGGACGCGCCCCTCGGCACCGTACTCCTGCTGCCACTTCTCCACCTGCGCCGCCAGGTGCAGGAAAGAGCGGCGCGAGGCCGGCACGTCCTTGCGCAGCGCCCAGCCCGCGTACTGGAAGTGCTGCACCGTGCGGTACCCATCCTGCGGCTAGCACACAACGCAGAGTCAAAGATCCGCCGTGGAGCCTTCGACAGACCGACGGGGAAAGCGTCGTTAGCGAGCGGCGCCTGCTAAGGCCGGCGTGGCCCCGCGAGGGGGCGGGTGGCCGGCACCGCGCCTGGCCGCCTTTGTCTTCCCCGGTGTTCTAACACCACCCCGGGTACTCATTCGAGGCCCGAGACCGGTAAAGATATGTGGCCGCGAGCGGGAATCGAACTCGGGCCGACAGGTTCGCAGCGCAACGCGATAACCGCCGTGCCGCCGTTCCCCACGGAGTACGCACGGAGACGCGGCCGTCGACTCCCCGACCCCTGCGCACGCGGCTGCACGCGGCGGCGTGAGGAATGGAATGCTCCCCGCCCCTGCTCCCCCACCCCCGCTCCCCCCACCCCCCGCCCTCACCCGCGTCACGTTGCAGATGCGGAAGGTGCGGTTGGTGATGTCGCCGTCGAGGAAGCAGCCGGCGAACTCCACCTGGATGGGGCCGTGGCGCAGGAGGCCCTCCTCCGGCCAGTACTGGGGGCACAGCTGTGGGCAAGCGCAGCGACGCCTCGTCATCGCGACGCTGCGCGGTAGGGCGTCCGCGTACGCTCGTGTCCGCCCGTGTCCCCGTGCGTGCATGTCCGCGTGCGTGTCAGCGTGTCCGCGCGTGCTCACCTGCGTGGGGTCGAGCTCGTTGAGCATGACTATGGCCGTGCAATGGTAGTCGAAGACGAGACGCCAGAAATCTTTGACGGAGTTGGGCAGCGGGTGCTGGGTCGCGATGAATGCCGACGGCTGGGAGTAGCTCTGCGGTGCGAGACACGGACACGCGGAGACGCGGCTTCATCTCTTCGTGCCCAGACTGACACGACACCGAGCATTTGGGACACCGCACAGACGAGACGCCAGACAGGAAACGAGACAACGGGAAGCGGGACGCGTGGAATACGAGACGGTGAATAGGAGAGCAGAGGCCGCGGCGAGATCGCGCTCCGCAGGTGCGGCGGCCGGCAGGGCGGTCGGCTCGTGCGCCGGTGCGGCGATGGGCGTGGAGCGGGCCGCGGGGGGGGGCCCTCACGTCGAGCAGCGCGGCGTTCACGTAGTTGCTGCTGTCACCATCCATGGCGATGAGGAATGGCAGGCATCGGTCGGGCGGCAGGAAGTCGCGGAAGCGGTTCTTGTCGTGGTTGCGCGGCAGCAGCGCGATGCTGCAGTCCTCGGCGCGCAGCGGCGGTGTCACCATGTGCAGCGTCTGCGAGCGAGCGAGTCGCGGCACGGGTCAGCCAAGGTGGCACCGGGAGCTCGGATTCGTCCGGAAATTGGATTGAGGTCCGGAATTTTGGAATTCATAAGTTCCGGGAAACGTGACCAAGTGACGTCACTTCTGTTATCAAGCCATGCGCGTACACATTCTCTAACACACACACATACAAAGACCCCCCATATAGTCTTTACGTACTCTTTTGGCAAGTGCTATTAGCGAGCACCTATGAAGGTCTGCACGGCACCTTTTCACCCCAGTGGCGATGTTTACACACCGCAGCAGGTACTCATTTGAGGCTGAGTCGACCTAGGGGAGCCCCAGGACCGGTTCAGATAATCGTCACTGGTGTTGGCCATGAGCGGGAATCGAACTCGGGTCGCTGGGTTTAAAGAGCAATGTGCAACCACTACACTACCGCTCTCCACTCGAACGCACGCACACATACACCAACACACTCACAGATATACACTGAAACACAAACACTGACACACAAACCAGTGGCCCTGAGGACAAAGTAGCCGTGTCTAAAAGCAATTCATTCTGGAATTCACGCAATTAATTTTAGACTTTCGACCGGAATGTTTATTACTGCACATTTTTTCATGTCGCTAATGGACCTATTTATTAAGCCAACGGTCGCATTCATACATTTATTATTTATATGGGGACAGACAGCCACGTGTCGTGCTAATCGCGGCCGTCTCAATGGAATCTGAAGGCCGTGGACACCTCCGCAGGTCGACAGACAACGCACGGTCGTCAAGACGCCCGACACGAGACACACGTCCAGAACGACGCGCGTCCTGGGCTCAACCACCTCTCTCCAGCGAAGGAGGAGCAGCCACCGCCACTCTCCATGGCCGCCACCGTCCCCCCTCTCTCCGCTCGCGTCTCGACGCGAGTCAACCTCGACCGGGCCGTGACGGTCGACTAGGCCGAGAACTCGGATAGGAACCCAGGCAGGTGGTCGTGGTGGCGGCGGTCGCCCCGAGACTCCGAGCGCCCGGCCGCCTCCTCTCACCTGGAACTCGTCCTTGACGTGGTTGGAGCTGCTCTGCGGCTCCAGGCGCAGGAGGTCGCAGTATGCCGCGCGGAAGTCGGGCGCGGGGATGGCCGTGTCGCCGCAGAGGCACGCCTCCAGCATGGCGTCGTGGATGAACACGTACTGCTCCTGCCGCCGGAGAGCACACGCGCGAGGACACCGACGGCGTCAGCGAGCGCCTATCGAGGGCGGCGCGCGGGAGAAGGAGCCGCCGCTGTGCGCCCGGGACTGGCTCGGATGTTAGCACGGATGTTGGCCGTGAGCAGGAGTCTAACCCAGGTTGTTAGGTTAATAGGCGGTGCACAAACCCCTGCCTACACCGCTGCTACCACAGACACACAGACGAAGATCCCACAGACTGTTGGAGCAAGTGCTGTTAGCGAGCGCCTATGAAGGCTGGAACGGGCAGCCCGGCCGCCTTGGTATCCCGAATGGCGATATTACACACTGCACCAGGCACTCATTTGAGGCGGAGTCGACCTAGGGGAGGCCCAGGACCAGTTCAGATAATCGTCACTGCTGTTGGCCGTGAGCGGGAATCGAACTCGGGTTGCCGGGTTTGTAGCGCAGCGCGCGAACCGCTACTCTAGCTCCCCACACACAAACACACAGACACACACGAACACACACACACATGCTCACACCCACCAACACACACAGAACATTTATTCCATGCATGCAGTCTGTTCCGTAACGCATATCTATTCTAATTCAAGTAAAAGGATGATTGAAAAGACAACACGGACACGCGCACACACACACACACTCAGACACACACGGACACGCGCACACATAATTACAGCAGCAGCAGCAGCAGAACTCCACCACATTCCAGTTAAAAAAGACAGCGGCCCGACAAGGAAATTCTTTATGTGAATCAAATGGAAGTAAACACATTCCACGGTGATCGGGGTGCCCAGGTGCTGATGGCGAGGTGGGTGGGGGGGGATTGGTGGGGTGGGGGTGGTGGAGGACGGGGCGGAGGGAGCGGACGGTCGAGCGAGTGATTTAACCCCTCTGCATCCGACTCCGCTCCGAGTGCCGAGCGACCCTGGAGCCTGGCCGGGTCGTGAGCGCCGAGCCGCCGTGAACCCCCCGGGCTCCACCGAGCCACCGTGCGGTAGACTCGGGCTGACGCCGTCATGAACGCACGGCGGCGCAGTCCCCGCCCGGCCCAATGTTCGTCTGGCATGGCGCTGGGGGCCCCGGCGAGAGAGAGCTCTCGTGGACAGCGAGGGACGAGGGGCGTCTGCGTGCTAATTGGCGGCGACGAGGTTAATAAGACGCTTGCCGGCGATTAGCGCGCCGGGGCCGGTGGTAATTACTCAGCGGGGCCGAGGGGTCGGAGGGCAGCCCTCCGCTCCGCTCCCTCGCAGCCCATTAGCCTAACGAGCTGGAAAATTGGCTCTGCGGCAGAGAACGGCGTTTGCCGACTGGTAGAAAAGGAAGACGTGCAACTGTGCAGTGGCTCGTCCTCGCCGCCTGCTGGCGGACGGACCTCCACTTGAGGGAACCCACGGAGCCCCTCCACACCGTCGAGGTAGGAGAGTGCGTGGAGGCGAGTAAAGGGAGATGAGAGGGGAGAGCTAGGAGAGCGCGTGGAGGATCTCGAGGGAGCGACGTTTCTCCTGTGTGTCGCGCGCTCGCCGCTTGCCTCGGTCTGCACCGTGTTGACGCGGCGCGAGCGCAGCTCCTGCACGCAGTTGTAGATGTCCACGACGCCCTCCTTCTCCGCCATGTCCAGCGTGATGTCGATCACCATGAAGCAGCCCGTACGGCCTGCTCCCGCGCTACGCACGCACAGACGCACGAATACACGACGGCAGACTGTTTGGGAAAGTGCCACGATAGCGAGGGGTGGTGTGGCCGTCACCACACCCGGCCGCCTTTGTCTCCCTTGATGTGTTTACACGCTCGAGGTGGCTCAGGACCGGTTCAGGTGCCGCTCGACGGTGACGCGAGCAGTGGCCGGGAATTGAACTCGTCTCGCTGGGTTGGTAACGCGCTGCGCGGACGGGCACACACACGCATACACAAGTACAGATGCACAAGCACACACTAGGGCACTAGCGCACAGGCAAACGCGCACACACACACACGCACGTCATTCACACACACACGTGTACTGCGCAAGCATCTCGGATGAAATCGGCACATTATCTTCCTATTATATGCGCTGATTGTGTTTTTTAATTAAACAAAATTTCAAACACATGCACATACAGGCGCAAACGGACACACATAAACTCGTACGCAATTGGTGCGAGCACCTATTAAGGCCAAGTGTGTGTGGAGGGGGTGATATGGCCAGCACCACGCCTGGCTGTCTTTTATTCCCGGTGCTGATATTTACACACTGCAACACGTACTCATTTGAGGCCAATTTGACCTAGGGGAGGCCCAAGACCGGCACACAAGCACGCGCCGACGGGCACATGTGTACTGCGCACGCACACACACACATGTGTACTGCACAAGCACGCGCACACACACACACACGTGTACTGCGCACACACACACACGTGTACTGCGCACGCACACACGTGTGCCGCGAGTGCGTTACTCAGGCAAGGGGTCCCCTGGAGGAGGGCTGGGAAGTATTTGCATCTCTTTGAGAATTGCGCAGTTTGTAAATCAAATTTTGGGAAGCAATCCCTTTAAGGGCTCTTCACGGTGTAATTTGCATCGCTAATTGGCTGGGAGCCCAGCGGGGCGGGAGATCGGCAATGTCGGGGAAGGTCGTGACGGAGCATCGCCCCGCACCGCCACCACCACCGCCGCTACCGCCACCACCACCACCGCTACTGCCGCCACCGCTACTGCCGCCACCACCGCCGCCACCGCCAGCACGTGCCAAGCACGGATCACGACGGCTCTCATGTCACTCGCCACTGACCTCAGCCGTGACCAGGAAGAGAACGTGGGTTTCGTGTGAGAGGTGGTTCTCGGTGTGTGAGTGCTGTTGGGGATGCGTGACCACGGCGATCATTGGTGGGGATTGTCCAAACCGATCCTGGGCTTCCCACCCCGAGGGTGACTTGGCCTTAAATGAATGCCGAGTGTGTGCCACGTCATGTAAAACATCGGCAAGGGAGAGATGAAGGTGGCCGGTTGTGGTGCTGGCCACACCGGCCCAATTAGGTGCCGTGCTGTCCTACGTGGGTGCTCACTAACAGCACTTCCCTTCACAGACTCTGCAGGCTACACGGGGCATCTTTGTCTTTGTGTACACGTGTGTGTGGCTCATTGCACGGTGCTCCAACCCTTATGGGCGCCACGGTGGCGAGATGGTAACTACATCACCCGGTATGCAGGAGGTCGCTGTTTCGATCCCGACCCTGACTGCGATGTATTTGGAGATTGTGTGTTCTCCCCGTGGTCGCGTGGATTTCCCCCCCGGATCCTCAGATGTTTGCCCTCCACATTTAGAATCAATGTGCATTTAGAGTATTTGGCCTCATAAACTTCCAAGTGACGATAAGCCACTTCGTCGAGCTATGATTTGTGATAGCCAGGTCGCTACACAGCTCAGCGTGGGCCTTACCTGGTGAAAAAAATATAGTAAAAAACAAAGTGTAACACCGCCGTCCCCCCACACACAGCAGAAACAGAGACAGCACCCACACTGTGCAGCCTTCAACGGACTGCAGGGGCGAGCGATGTGGTGAAGCCCCCCCCCCCTCCCCCCTCCTCACCTGCAGTGCACGACGCAGGGCCCCGCGTCGGGCGGGTTGAGCGCCTTGACGCGGCGTACGAACGCGAGCAGCCCCGTGGCGTGGTATGGCACGCCATGGTCCGGCCAGCTCGTGAAGTGGAAGTGGCGGACCTCGCGCACCTCGGGGCAGCCCGCCTGCGCCGCACGCACGCACACACGCACGCACGCACGCAGTATCGTCAGTCATGATGATCCACTGCTGCATGTCCATAATTGTGCATCCGTATGTAACTGTACATGTCCGTGTGTCTGCGAGTAACTGCCCACGTGTCCGTGAGCCTCACCCGCTCGATGCTGAACGTGCGGATGATGTACTCGGCGAGCATCTCGGTGGCCACGAGCGTCACCTTGACGTCGTTGTAAACCTCGCACTCGTCCGCCCAGTACTTGCAGCACTTCACCTGCCAGTAGAACACGCGTGCACGAACGAACGCATATACACGGACACGTGCATGTACACAAAGACAGAGATCCACTGTCTAGCCTTAACAGACTGTCGGGGCAAGTGCTGTTAGCGAGTGGCACCTATGAAGGCCGGCACGGCACATCCCTTTTTCTCCAGAGCGGTGATGTTTACACACTGCACAAGGTACTCACGTTGAGGCTAAGTCGACCTAGGGGAGGCACATGACCGGTTCAGGTAATCGTCACCTGTGTTGGCCGTGAGCGGGAATCGAACTCGGGTAGCCACGTTCGTAGTGCAGCACGCTAACCGCTGCACTACTGCTCCCAATAGAATACACAAATGCACACACAAAAGGACACACGCGCACACACACGCGCACACACACGCGCACACACACGCGCACACACACGCGCACACACATGCACGAAGACACGGACATGGAATGTTATTCTCGGCCTTATTCTACAGCGCTCTAATTCCCGTGAAAGGACGGCTGAAACGACACTGACTCACACAAGCACGCTAGCAATTTACCACATTTGAGCAAATGAGCACACAAACATACACGGCAATCAGCCGCTCGCCCACATGCATCTCCATTCCACACTTCAGAAAATGAGATTGGAAAATTTTAAAATCTCTGTTACTGCACCTGAGGCATATAGGTTCAAATCCCGGCGGAGGGTTGACATTTTACAACTTATTCATCGTCCCTATCATCCTCATCCTCCACCGAGGGGAGATAAAACGAGCACCACTTTGTGGTACTCAATGCTTGCTCTTCCATCCTGCACTTGTCACAATAATCTGGAATTTCCACTGCTGCCGATGGAGATGAGCACCGCCCCACATTAATTTGAGCGCCGAGACTTGATCAACCCTCGGGGCGGTTCAGAGGTCGGAGCACCGAGTGGCCCTGCCGAGAGTCTGGGTTCGAATCCGGGTATCAAGCCGCCCAACTGCAGCGACCCAACCGAGTTCCCAAGAGGAGTGAGCCGAGCAGTGGCGGCTCCTGCAAAATCTCTCAGGGGGGGCAAATGTTTGGATGATTGATAAGGATAAGGTCCACCCATGCAAAGGATAAATTAACAGCTTAAGCATGTAAAGGCAACTTCACTTCTTTAATATTAATGAAAAATAACGTGACTCTTACAATACATCTTGTTTGTTTCTATACTCACTATTAATACAATCCACTCATGTTTCTTTTATTAAAGATTCCACTAGGTGGCGACAAATAATTTTGTTGGATGAAACGTGCTTACGTATGATGACGTAAGCACGTTAGTGCGAGCCCTCCCGGAAGCCATAGAGAATGCATTGCAGCGCCCCCCGTTCGAAAAAAAACATCTTTGAATGTAAGTCTATGGGACCACTCGGGGCGATTCTCAACCGGAGGGAAATCGCCCAAAAAGAGGCGGTACTCCACAGAACGTAGCATGACGCTGATTGGACTATATCCAGAGGCACAGTGACGGCTAGCGTGACTCTGTGGTTGAATGACATTGGTGGTGCGTCGCCCAATCGCCCTAATGAAGAAACCGCCCCTGGAGCCGAGGGTGCCAGCCCCATCACCAATGAGGCCAAACAAACCTTGTCGCTCTGGCCGAGCAGCTGGGAGGAAAGTGCTGCCCCTCTACTTTGTGCGAACCAGAAGGCCGTGGGGCCGATCAGGCTGCATGCGGAGGAACGGAGTTGAGAAGGAGGCGAATTGTCTGTTTTCCTACGCAGACCACACATCACTCGGACAAGGGGATCTCAGAGGTGGCTCTGTGACATCCGCTTCCACGTGTCCGACACAGAGAGTTGCACTGCTCTGTAAGAATGTTCTCCATGGATTCATTATCTGGTGACTCGAGCCCAGGAGAACTATTGGGATGCAGTATTATGATGACCGTTCTCTTCGTACAACGTACACGTAAGGACAAATAAACCCTCGTGGGAGCCGGGGGGACGGGGGCAGCGCGACCGGTTGTGTAAATGCCAACTTTGGTCAGGAGGTTAACACCGCCTCCAGTGTGAAGCGAGTCGGCGTTTACCGACTGCCGTACGCGAGATCCGCGGGCCGAGACGGCCAAACTGAGGGCGGTCATCGCGCGGCTCTCCTCCGCTCTGTGGCGCACAGACCCAGCGAGACGGAGCCAGCGAGACGGAGCCAGCGAGACGGAGCTCTCTGGCTCGCTCGGTTAGCCGCTGGGGCTCACCGCCGGAGTGAGCGAGTGCCCATTGAGGCCGGTAATGGGGTGAACGTGACCGGTGCACACCACCCCCACCCTGCTGGCCTTAATAGGTGCTCGCTAACAGCAGCGCTCATAAGGCTAAGCGGAGGATCGCTCCCTTGTGGGGAGGGGTCGCGCGCTGCACTACGAACCCGGCGGCCCGAGTTCGATTCCCGCTCACGACCAACACCAATTACTTTTACCTCACAGGGTTCTGGGCCTCCTCTAGGTCGACTCAGCCTCAAATGAGTACCGGATGGTGTGCGTAATCATCGCCACTAGGGAGACAAAGGCGGCCGGGCGTGGTACTGGTCACCGACCCCTTGTGTGCTGTGCCGGCCTTCATAGGTGCTACTCACCAACAGCACTTGCCCCAACAGTCTATGAAGGCTATACGGCGGACCTTTGTCTGCACTGCCGCACTGGAATGGGGGCTTCATTAACTTCCGTCTCAAAATGAATGAACAAATACAAATCCGCGTCGTATTGCCATTCACAAACGACGTGCGCTGTGGACCCTTTAGCGCAACGGCTGCGGGGGAGTGAGCAGCTGAGGGGAGGGGGAGCAGCGCCCCGGCCTGCTGGGCAGGGCCCTGCCCCCACCCGCAGGGCAGGGCACCCTGCCCTCTCCGCACCAACCCTCTCACCCCGCCTCCCCCCACCACGCTTCTCTCCTCCCTCCTCCTGACGTCCACCATAGAGGCCAATCAAAAGTGACTTCGGCAGTAGTTCTGCGATGTCCTCTTCTGCGCCCCGCTGTCCGTCACCAAGTAGCGCACTGCTACGTTTTGGGTTTCCGCATTTAATAGCCGCAATAATGACATGACCGCTAAAGTGCAACTGATTTTTTTTATGATAACACTTGAGAACCCTTTGTCACTCGACTGCTGGATGAAGGACTCCCCACGCCGTGTCGGTCGTGGGGGCTGGATGGCCACACTTCCGTGCACTGCCGAGCGCTGGGACGGGGAGGGCGGCACACCACGCGCACCGCTCCTCACTCGCGTGGACAACGACCGCCGGACATCGCGCTCGCTGTGGGCGCCGCTCGGCGCTTGGCTCCGGTCGGAGCGAATCCGCCGCCCTTAACGAATCCGTCATGTTAGAACCAGGAGGGAGAGAAGAGGGGGAAATTAAATAAATAACCCCCGCCCCCCTCCCCCCAACAAGCGAATTACGATTCGGGAGGCGCACGGCTCTCACGCACTTTTAAAAAATAATTTCTTTGCTCTGCCAAGCGCTCGGAAAATTACTCTCCCCGTTCCCGTGCCAATCGCAACCACGCAGGAACACGCGTGGATGCGCGCACATGCACGTAGACGCGAGAGAGGGTGGCTGCGTGTGAGAGTGCACGGGTGAGGCTGCGCGCATGTGTGCGTACATGTATGACGAAGGGGCGGTGGCCAACGTCGCTAACAACATTCTGAATCTGTCCTGGGCCTCCCCGAGGTCGCCTCAAATGAGTACCTGTGCCATTCGTAAACATCGCCACTGGGGAGACAAAGGCGGCCGGGCGTGGTGTTGACCACCCACCCCTTCGTGTGCCGTGCCGGCCTTCATAGATAGGCGTTCGCGAACAGCACTTGCCCCAACAGCATTTTAAAGCTATACGGGGGATCTTTGTCTTGTTACACTTGCACGTGCATGCATGACTGCGTGCGCACTTGTGCGTGTGCGTGCGTGCGTACGCATGATAAAGTAAGTGCGTGAGACAACGTGCGTGTGTGTGTGGACACTTGTGAATGCTAAGCAAAGACCATTTGAGTTTGGGGAGCAGGGGTGTGAGAAGGGGGTCGTATAAAGGGTTACGCTGGGGGTCACGGGTTGAGGGGGGGGGATGATATCCAGTCGCCTGATCTTCTGAGTGTCGGGCGTCTGATGAAATTTCATGATTTAATGGGAAATCTTACAAGCGGGCGGAAATTATATGTGCACGATTAGATTATTATTCATGAATAATTGACCGCAATTTGTGGGTATTTCATTACGAGTGCAAGGGCCTCGAATGAAAGGGGGAATAAAGCAAAGCTGCATTTGAGCGGAGAGACGGGGGCTCCCTTATTGCAATTAAAATAACATTCTTGGTCCATTAGAGCAAATCAGAGGTTCGACCACGGAACGGATTGTAATAATGCAGGTGGTCTGGCCCCCGTGAAGGGCGGGGCTGGTGGGCCCCCCTCCCCCCTCCCCTCCCCCCTCCCCCTTGCCCCCTCCCTCGCAGCTCCGGCACAAAATAATTTAGCGACAAGATCGGCCAAATGAATGTCTTTCATTTAAAACAAAAACAACGCCCGGCGCCACGCCGAGATTACGAACAAATGTCACCAAATTGTTGAGAACATGGACTCTCTCTCTCTCGAGGGAGAGAACATTAACCCCTCGTCGGCAGAGTTCACCGCACCAGGGGGAGCAACGTGGAAATTGGCTCGTTACTCGCCGCTGTGTTTAGTTTGTTGTCTTTCCCGGGACCTCTGATAAGCACGGTTGGCTACGTTTGATGGAAATTCCACGTTTCCTTGGCGGGAGGGGTATTGAACGGCACAGCGCGGGCGGATGTTCTACCTGAGCAGGGCTAGTAAACCAACGATACGTCAAGTACGCGAGTGTCGGGAGGGTGACGGTGTGTACACTGGGGTGTGGGGCCGAGGAAGGTCAGAGGGCGACAAGGCGCGGAAGGTGATGGGCAGGGGAGGCGAGGTGGTGGTGCGAGGAGGTGAGGCTGAAGAGGCGACGGGGGTGGAGAGAGGGGAGGGGCTGGCGATGTGGGCGGTGAGCAGCGCGACCGCTTACCCGCCCGACCTCCACCAGGTTGGTGAGCATCACCACAGAGGCAGAGTGCTCCTGCCAGACCATGCGCCAGAAGTCGTAGACGGTCTCCGGGAGGGGCCCTGCGTGAACGCCGTGACACAAACACGACGGGGTCAAGAAGCCACCACGACGCCATGCTTTCTTCTCCGAGATCTCTCAACAGGCCACGCCGGACGTCCAGGGACCGCTCTCACGTTCTTATCGCCCCCACTGTCTGGGTCAGGGTCTCCACCTTACCTTGCATGGATACAAACACCTCCCACCGCGGACTTGACTACATAAATGATCATAATTCAGGGTCGCGATTCAATCAATTCGCGTTTGTCTCGTTTGACAATCTCGTTTGTATTGTTTGCTGTTAGGTCCGTCTCGTATGGACATTCGCATTCGCTCCGTCAGCTTGTAGGTAATGTTAGCATTACATTTGCATCGTTTGTAAATAATAGATTTCTGCGTGGCTGACCCTACGCGCGTGTATCAAGCTAGGAGGAACCGGCTCTGATTTACGATCCAGGTGTCGAGTCCCTAAGTGATCTGAGATGCTCTGGAATGAAAACTTAATGTTACACAATCCCTTAAAACAACGCTCACTTCTCCAATTACAATTGCTCGCAACAAAAAAAAATTATACGAATACCAACAACAATCTCGGCGAAAACCAGCCGCTTACAATGGTCACACAAACTTCAGAGCAGACGTGGAAATAGCCAAATAGATGCGGAGAGATGAGACTAATGATGGGTTGGAGTCCAAGGAGGAAATGCGGCCGAAGGTGGTGAGAAGTCCAACGTGGAGATGGAGCAACGAAATATCACGTGGCAGGATCGTCAGAAGCGAAGACCGCTTGGGGAGGCCTTCATCCAGCAGTGGATTGATCATGGCTGATGATGATGAGCGACGGCGATGGCAGGAGAATGTGTGCTCGCGCGCCCCTCTCACCTTGTGTCGCGATGTAGTGGTGAGTTCGGTGGTAGCCCTGCAGAGTGGGGCGACACGGGGAGAGGGAGCGAGACAGAGAGAGTAAGAGAGAGACACACGGCAAGAGAGACGGAGAGCGCGGAGGGACACAGGCAGAGAGAGACGGAGAGCGAGGGCGACGCGGGGAAACGAGGTGTTTATAAATTACTCGCCGGACGCTCGGCGACATCGCTTTGCCGCCACCTCGGGGCGCACGGCGAGGCGGGGGGACGGTGATTAATGCGGAGGCCCATCAGGGGGACGGAGCTAACGGGCGGCGTGGGTCGCGCGGAGCGCACGGCAACTCGACGGCCACCGGAGCCGCGCGCGGCGGTGGGGGAAGCGAGGAGGAGGCGAGGAGGAGGCGATGGCGTTCGCCCTGCCGTGCCCGTGACGCCGCGGCCGCTCCCGTAACGTGCCCAGGGCCCTGATTCCTCCCAGAACCCTTGAAGCGATGGGAGGTGGCACAGTGTTGTACACCACGTACACCACGTACACCATATACACCACACACACCACGCACACCACGCACACCACGCACACCACGCGCACCACGCGCACCAAGCACACCACGTACACTACGTACACCACATACACCACGCACACCACGCACACCATGCACACCACACACACCACGCACACCACGCACACCACGCGCACCACGCGCACCACGCACACCACGTGCACAGTGTACACTGTGTACACTGTGTATCACCTCACCTCCCATCGCTTTGAGGGTTCCGGGAGGAAGCAGATGTTTTTGTGGCTGATATAACGATGATGAAGATGCCGCTTCAAGCGCATTCCTAATTTACATTAAATTATCGCACATCGCCTTTAATTAAAAACAGCTCGCCTAACTTACATTTCATTATTCTGTCATAAACTTGTTTCAGCTTTCGCAATTTTCGATCCTTCACTGTCGTCGTGAAAAATCATTCCCCCCCACAGCTCTTTGCGTTTACCCCCCCCCCCCCCCCGTACCTGAATGGGGCTCTCACCTGAAAGTTTCAAGGCAATCGAGGCACCCCCCTAGCCCAGACAAGCGTGCAGCTGCGTGGGAACGCTACTCTGACACAGTCCGCTTACGGATTCGAACCGCGAACCTCTGCGACACGCTACCGCGAGCAGGGCCACGTCACCGACCCACGATTGTCGATCCATTGCTCGATGAAGGCCTCCAAACTCCGAGTCGGTCGCGCAAGTTGTTTTAGCCATACTTCACCACGCCGGTCAGCGTGCGTGGGTCGGTGAAGGACGTGGACCCCAAGACCGGTTCAGATATCGCTCGCCGCTCATGTTAGTCTTGGACAGGAACGGAACTCAGGTCACCGGGTGAACAGTGCAGTGCGCCAACCTCTAGGCCACCGCACGCACCGAGCATCGCATCGGCACCGTGAGCGTAAGAATCGAATCGTAATCCGTGAATCGGTGGAAAAACAAGGAGCATCCTGTGTGCACGCAGTACATGACCGACATGCGTGTGCTTGTGCTATTCGGACGTATCAATGCCCGCATGCCAACACGCAGACTGTGCCGCGCCAAGACGCAGTGTGTGCGTGCACAGCAACCGGGAGGGGCAGTGGAATAAGGTGACACGAGGTGAACGTACGCACACACACACACGTGTACGCAAAACAAATAAGGGCGCACACACACACATGCGGAGGAATGGACACATTTACGCATGCAAGCACGAGGGATGGGTACTTTGAGACACGCTCGCACGCACACATACACACAGGCACGCACGCGGAATCTCTCGTCTTATGGAAATGTCCCATCCCAGGAGGAAGCGTATAACTCACACACATAATCACAAGCCGGCATGCTCGCGCGCCCCCCACCACCTGCCCCCAGCTGCCCCCCTGACCCCCCCACACCCCCCCCCCCCCACGCTCGCCCGCTTGCCTGCGCCCCCCCCCCCCCACCCAGCACGCCGTCAGCGCAATAGCCCCGACTCCGTCCAAAGATCGCTCCCCCACTCCAGACCTTGAAAACCCCACTGCTCTATAATATATTGCGTAGCGGCTCACGTCTTAAATATTCAAGAGATTATTTCGGTGTGAACATCCTCAACGCCGACCCCGGCACAAACTCTGCCTCCACCGCTTCGCCTGCGAACCTGGGCGCGAATTCCAAGGCCCCCCCCCCACCACCGTTGTCCGCCCCGGCCCCCGCTGCGGCCATCGGGCTGTGAAGGGTGGGCGGGAGGCGGAATTGGACTGGCGGTCTCTCCCCCCCCCCCCACCGTGTTCCTTGCACCAGAGCTCATCGTGCCAACGCCGCTACGTCCCCGATCCGCGCTCAATCCCCCAAGCCCACTCACTACCGCAGAGCGAACCTTGGCCTGGCTCGCTCCGCACCCGCACGGACGCGACGTGCTCCACCGCTTCAAGGCCATGGGTCATCATGGCCGATGCCGCCACTCCCCGCAATCGCTTCCTTCCTTCCGCTAGATCCTGCGGTGCTTGTGAACTCGAAGCTCGTCGCCGACAGCGCGACGTCGTCTGGCTCGGGGTATCCTCTTCCCCTTGGTCCCCGACCTCTGCGTGCCACTGCCGTGCCCATCTCAATGACCTCACCTCCGCTTCCTCCACGCTGCACGTCTGTCCCACCCATCCCTACCTCCAATTCCCAACCCCCAAGTGGCTTGCCCTATCTTACAACAGCGTTGCAGGCTTCCTGCGCATGCACCTCCATTCCAACGCCCCAACGTGAGTTACACAATGAGTCTAACATTCACTGGGTGTCCAATTAGAAGCACTCACACCAAACAAACACTTCCCTTCCTCTAATTTTGTGTCCAATTAGCATCACTTAAAATATATCAACGTCCTTGCCTCAAGGGGGAATACGGTTTGAAAAAATGTAACTTTGTAATTCCACTGCTGGATGGAAACCTCCCCATGTTGTATCAATCGCGGGGATTATTTTAGTTTATTTCACCACCCTCGTGGCGCAGAACCGGTTTATACATCACTTTCTCCTGCTGTGGGCCACGTCTGGGAATCAAATCACAATATGCTAGGATTGAAGCACAGTGTTCGCTAACCACTGCGACACTGCTCCCTTAATACGTCTTTAAAGGATGTGCCATTTATTTTGTGTCCATCCCATCAATTGTTTTTGTGTTTAACCTTCGGAACATAACTAAACAATGCTTATCCGATAAATAAAAAAATATCCCTGCGAAATTCTAAGTGGAAACCCAGCGAGAGTGGGGCGAGGGGGGGGGGGGTGTACTGGCAGAAACGCGAGGATGGACAGATGGGGAGGCAAACACGGAAAGACGGACATACGGACGGACGTAGAGACAGAGAAACAGAGGGACCCACTCACCAGGTTACCGCTGCTGCAGCAGCACACCTACCCATCCACAGCATCCACAGCAGCAGCAGCAGGAGGAGGAGACAGATATTTGAACATGGGGGGGTGGCGGGGGGGAGAAGGGATGGCTGCCTCTTCCCTGGTTTATGGACAGAGGAATGCGAGGCTGTGCCATGACCTCTCAATCAATATCCCCCCTGGCCACTCCACATAGACCCCCTGGCTACTCCACGTGCACCCCCTTGGTTACTCCACATAGACCCCTTGGCTACTCCACACAGACCCCTTGGCTACTCCACATAGACCCCCTGGCTACTCCACGTGCACCCCCTTAGTTACTCCACACAGACCCCCTGGCTACTCCACATAGACCCCCTTGGCTACTCCATACAGACCCCCTGGCTACTCCACGTGCACCCCCTTGGCTACTCCACGGAGCATTCGTTTGCTCTCTGCTAACTTGGCCTCTAAACCATGCTCGCGATGATGTAGGGCCATCAGGTTGGTGGCGGTGGTTGGCAGGGGGGTGGGGGGCGAGGTGGTGGGGGCCGGGATGGTGGGGGGCGGGGTGGTAGGGGGCAGGGTGGTGGGGGGTGGGGTGGTGGGGGGCAGGGGGGATGGTGGGGGGCAGGGTGCTAGGGGGCAGGGTGCTAGGGGGCAGGGTGGTGGGGGGCAGGGTGGTGGGGTGGTGGGGTGGTGGGGGGCAGGGTGGTGGGGTGGTGGGGTGGTGGTGGGGTGGTGGGGGGCGGGGTCGTGGGGGGCGGGGTGGTGAGGGGCGGGGTGGTGAGGGGCGGGGTGGTGAGGGGCGGGGTGGTGATGGGCGGGGTGGTGGGGGGTGGGGTGGTGGGGGGCTGGGTGCACTCACGTCAATGTAGTTGGCGTTGATGTAGTCGGAGCTCGGATCTCCGTTTGTTGGCTGAAGCACGACTCGCGAGTGGTCGTCTGCACACAAAGACAAAGATCCCCCACGTAGCTTACATAGAGACTCGAGGCAAGTGGTGTTAGCTAGCGCCTCTTGCTCCCGGCACGGCTCACGAGAATACGTTGTGACTGGCACCGCGTCTGGCCACCTTCGTCTCCCCAGTGCTGATGACCACGCTCCACGCTCCACGCTCCACGCTCCACGCTCCACGCTCCACGCTCCACGCTCCACACTCCACACCAGCCACTCATTTGAATCCGAGTCGACCGATGGGCTCGGGCACTCGTTCCAATATCAGTCGCTGCCGGTGTGAACCACGGGCGGGAATTGAAACCGTGTTGCCGGGTTCGTAGTGGAGCACACCAACCACTACATTACCGTGCCCGACACATGTTAAAAGGTAAAGATCCCCCATATAGAATGCGACAGCATTGGGGCAAGTACTGTGAGTCCCACACGTACACACACGTACACACACGTACACACACACATTCACCAGGCGCTCCTTGCTAGTGACATCCACTCCCGTGAGCACTGTGGAGAACGCACACGCACACGCGTGTGCGTGCGTGCGTGCACGCGTGTGTTGACGCGTGCATGCGTGTGTATCGATGCCGTGGAGTGAGACGCTGCGATGATTTGCATTTAAATAAAAGAGCAAACATGAATTTCACGCAGGTGAACGAAGACGGCACGCGAAGCCGATTCACGTTGCGCCTCCGTGCTTGTGAAACTTCCAATGACAGTCATCGTCATCGTCGGCCATGATCAATCCACTGCTGGATGAAGGCCTCCTCTGCAAGTCGTCGCCGCCCCTCACGGGATGGCAACGCAACAATCCGCCCAGCACCTTGCTTGCCAGGCCAATTTCATTGCTCCGTCTCCTCGTCACGTCTCCTGGCTGCCACTGCCGTCATAATGGCTTGGCCTGGTGGCCTGGTGGCCAGTGGCCCCCCACCCCCGCCCCCCAGCGAGCGCTGCCACGAGGCGGCCTGGCGCAGGGGCCGCAGGGCCATGTCCCTGAGCTGCGCATGCTTTCCGGGTGCTCCTCTCTTTCTCGGTCTCTCGCGGTCGGTCCAGGTGCGTGCCGCTCCACGCCGGGGTTCTCCCTCCACATTTAGAATCACCGTCACGCGTTTGGAGTAATTGGCTCCAATAAATGTCCGCGTGATGACATGCCACTTCGTTGGGCTATCACTTGTGGCCAGGACGCTTCGGAAAAAGAGCTCTAGAGCTCAGGGGGCCCTTAACTGATACAATCATTTTTTTATTTTAGTTTCTTTGGGCACTTTTCAGTTTTCGTCCCGGTAAGGACGGCAGCGATATCCATGGCGTGGCTCACGCGGAGTTTGTCGGTGTTGTGCGAGCGGACTGCGGCCATCTCGACGCAGATTCACCGCCTTTTGTCCGGCACACACACAGCCAGCGCTGCTGCTTAAGCCACAGGCACTCATTCGGGAGTGCCGAATAATCTATGCGCCACACACACACACATATATATATACACATATATGAAAAAGGCTAAATAATAAAAGCAGGGAATACTAATCGGGATTTTGTTCTATGCAGAAAAAACATTCCTCTTGAAATGTAATTATAAGTGGAGTCTTAAGTGATAATGATGATGAGCGTGGCTGGGGAAGGAGGTGGGGGAGGGGTGGGGGGTATTGGGGGGAGGGCGAGGGGCATGCACCCACTGGGAAACCACCGGGGCCCTCATCAGTAACCCCGATCCCGAGTCAGTGAAGTCCTGCCGCCCCAGGGCCCATACGGAGCGCTGGACCATCCATCCCTACCCCATCCATCCCCAACCCATCCATCCCTACCCCATCCATCCCTACCCATCCGTCCCCACCCCATCCGTCCCCTACCCCATCCGTCCCCTACCCCATCCGTCCCCTACCCCATCCACCCCTACCCCATCCACCCCTACCCCATCCACCCCTACCCCATCCACCCCTACCCCATCCATCCCTACCCCATCCATCCCTACCCCATCCATCCCTACCCCATCCATCCCTACCCCATACACCCCTACCCCATCCATCCCTACCCCAGGGTCCACTCTCAGGGCCGTCTCCATCCATGGCCAAGGCCCCACAATGGGTGATGGATGGATGGCATCACCGAGAGTCCAACTTCAAGGCCCAACAGAGGTGTCTACACGGTCCCTGATGGCAGACGGGTGCCCACGTGGTGTGAGGTGCAAATGGGCACTCGGTCCATGAGCGCAACCATCATTCCTGTCATGGTCACTACTATCATCATCACCACCGCCGCCATCACCACAATCACCGCCTTCATTGCATACACGTAATATCATTGGCACCGCGAGTGTCACGTTCGTCACGCCGTCGCATGGAGAAGGAACCTGGGATTCCATCTCAAGCGACACTGTCGCCCCTCGCAAGATCCCCCGCACCCCCCGTGCCGCTCGAGCGTACGGAGCTTAAGTCGTCCCCACCGGACTCCAGCTCATGCTCTGCGCGCCGCCGCCGCCGCCGCTATCTCTCGGCGGAGTGAGCAATCTCACACGTGACCCGAGGCGATGAGTGGCACCGAGTGATCCCAGGTCCTCCCGGGGGATCGAGGGGGGAGATCGAGGGGGGATCCGCGACCTGGCGGGGTCAAGCACTTACAGGCGATGATGTTTCCGTAGCGGTTCTTGGGACGGTTCTCCTCCCGCTTGGCCACGGTCCACGACGCCGACTGCCCTTCAAAGAAACTCTGGAGAGATGGGCAGGGTGGGAGGGAGGGAAGAGAGGAATGAGAGGAGTGCGAGAGATGTGTAAGGTCAAGTGCAGGAGGTGCAGAGCGCTCCTATTTTGCGCACGAATCGTTTTCACAAAGCGCACTTAACATGCGCCACACGCGCACACACACGCACCCACACGTACACATGCACACATATGCACAAACACATGCAATAGACTGTTGGGACAACCGTTGTTAGCGAGCACCTATGACGGCCGGCACGGCGAACGGGACTGTGGTGTGGCCAGCACCACTCCCGACCACAGTCGGGACTCACGCTCAGTTCACAGGGTTTATTATGGTGCAGTGCGCTAACCGCTCTGCCACTGCTCCCCCGCATGCACGCACGCACGCACGCATATGCGCGCACGCTTCCCCGGACAAACTCGTACACTTTGAAGTCTTTTATTTTTCAATTTTCAACATGAAACAAAACCCGAGAGTAGCAACAAGCGACTGCCATTGCATCTGAATCCAAAAAAACCCCAAAACAACCTGCGGAGTGCGCTTGGACGTCATCGCTGGACAGGAGCCGGGTCCACGTGGGAGAGACGCCTCCCAGGGGGGGGGGGGGAACGCCAACCCCGCACACCACGTCCAGTGCACCTCTTGCTATGGGCTGCGAGTCGCGTGTCGCCTACTCTCGCCTACCAGCGGCCCGGAAAGTATTTGGTGAGAAACGTAAACCCGGATTGCGACGTAGATCTGGCCGGGTGGCCCAGCGGCAGAGCGAGATGCTCGTGGTCAGAAGGTCACGAGTTCAACTCCTGGTTGGGGGTTAACTTGGCGCATCATCCTCCTCGGATCAATACAATGAGTACCACTTTGTGGGGATGTCAACACCGGTTATTCTTTGAGGAATCTTGCCCCGATGTAGGAGCGCGTAATGTTCACCGCTGGCTCGGTGCTGTGAGCAGGAAAACACTTTTGCTTCGGTGTGTGTCATCGGCCCAGGAGTCAGGGGGTGGCGGTGGGGGCGAGGGGGGTTCAGGGGCGCGGGCTCTGCCGTGTCTCATCAGGGGCATGGCAACTCGCTCCCAACTCTCCCACCTTTACCCTCTCACCCCTCTCGCCCCACGCTCCGCGGGGACGCACCGCTGACGAGCGACGCTCGGGGCAAATTGAAAATTCCGGGGCAGTTTTTGCGGCGGAACCATCGCGGCTGTCTTGTCCCGGTGCCCATGCCCGTGGTCGAGGGATGAAAACAAAAAAACAATGACGATTCGGGGAGCGCAACGACACGCGGGCGCATCTCGGTACGCGACGTGGCCACGGCGGCCACGGCGGCCACGGCGGTCCGCAGGCAGGGCCAGCGGTGGCGTGGCAGCGTCACCGTGTGGGCCCTGGCGCGAGGGATGAAATGGGGGCCCCCCTCTGACCCGGGGCTTGGTGCAATTGCACAGCCTGCACACTCGACAGCGACTATACTGAGAGGCACTCGGCCACAGAGACTCATAGAGATCCACAGACTTCAGTGTGCTGGCTTATTTACTCCAGTTCTTTTTTTAAAGGATGGTGGCAGGGACCGTAGTTCCAGACCGAGGCTAACGATGCGACTGTTTTCGCCGGGCATCGTCAAATGCCATGGCCTCCGACGGTAAAGTGACGAAAAGATACGGGAGGATTGGGTTCGGGGTGGCTCACACACCAGGGTTAGGGTTAGCTGTTAAGGATTAGGAGTTAGGGTTGGCTCGCACGCCGGAGCTGTTTGAGGAGCTGTGCTGATGAAATCTGCATTATTAATCGGTGCCAAGAAGAGGGGATCCGAGCTTCGTGGAGGAGAAATACAAACACACACAGAGTCAATGTTGCGGCCCAGTTCACAAATGAAGGTGTGCATAATTGATGGCGCTAAATTAGGCATGCGCTGTCTCGTGTGCACACACACATGCTCATATACACACACGTGCTCATACACACACACACACACGTGCTTGGACACACACACACGTGCTCATACACACACGCGTGCTCATACACACACGCGTGCGTATATATACACACACACGCGCTCGTACACACACACACATGCTATATACACACACGTGCTCGTACACACACACACACACGTGCTCGGACACACACACACGCTTGCTCATACACACACGTGCTCTTACACACACTGGCGTGCACACACACGCGCGTGCAGAAAAGCTAACTAACACACGCACACAATGGTCCACGCACGCGCACACTCCCACCCCCTCCCCCCCCCCGCGCCGCTCCCACACACCTCGTACTCCTCCTTGAAGCCGTAGCCCTCGCCCAGCTTCATCTGCTCGATGTGCTGCAGGAGGTCGTTGACCCGGATGGCCGGGTGCAGCTGCCCCGTGTGGTACGGGGACTCGGGCACGCGCTCGGGGCCCCGCCACGCCGGGCACGAGGCCCGCGGCCCCCGCTGGCCCCCGCCCGTCCCGTGGCAGTGCGGCGCGCGGGCGCCGTGCCCCCCTCCTCCTCCCCCCGGCGGGGGGAGCTGCTGGGGGATGGGGGGCTGCCCGTGGTGGGGGTAGGGGGGCGCGGGCCCCGGCGGGCCCTGGGAGCCGCTCGCCTCGACGAGGGGCCCCCCCCCACAGCCATCGTCTGTGCGGGAAGCAAGGGGGGGGGGATGAAGGGATTTTAGAAGCGGATATTACAGAACTACTTCTGAGGTCCCTTTAAGTGGCCTCCGGTCCGCACGGCGGTGAGCAGCGATTTCCTCATTGCCAGCCCTGAGGCAACGGTGGAAATTCCACATTCCTGTGGACTGGACCGGTGTTTACCGCAGCGTCTCCCGCTTATTGGCATAAAGCCCTGCCCGGCACCCCTACCCTGCCAACTCAGAGTCTGGATTAAATACAGCGTCGTGGGCTGGAAGCCAGGCCCACACAGACCATCACCGCACCACCTCGGCAACAACCAACACCCCAACTGCCGCTCCAAAGCCACGATCCGCCAATCAGACACGGCGCCGATAACGTCCCACGCCGGCGCCATCAAAACGGTGGCGGCGAGACGGCACTGAATGGGGAACTCGGTTCTGGCGAGATCCGCGGTGGCACCGTGGTTGGGCGCCGTGGTTGGGCGCCGTGATTGGGCGCCGTGATTGGGCGCCGTCGGCGGCCGTGGTTACGGACGTGCCGGGCCATTTACGGCACTCCGAAAGGCCGCGCTTTATGGAGCGGCGTTACGGTGAAGCCAACTGCCCCACGCCGCACGGCGCCACGCGGCGCCCCACCGGCGGGCAACGCGGCGCCACAGCGACCACGCGAGTTGTGGTTGTGCGAGCGGTGAAGTTGCTTGGTGAGCCGCGGTTCATTGCAACCATGGACCCAAGGGTAAGCGCAACAATAATAAATTATAATAATCAAGTGATTATAATCACTTCCTGCTGTTGATCTTTGGCAAGCAGTGGTCGGAAAGCTAATTAGAGGCGAGGTGACATTACCCTGCTGGCCGGGCGCTCGCGTTCACGCAAAGTTCAGCTGCCGGGCCTCGTCAGCACGGAGCGGAGCGGCAGCGCCAGCGAGCTGCGCGACAGCCCCGGGTCTCGCACTGCAGACATACGCCAATGCACCGACACGCTTCAGCCTCATCGTCATCATCGACCAGGATCTCGCAACCATTTGGTGATGGCCTGGCACCCAAGTTGCCTTCGACTCTCACGCGCGCACATGCGATAGCACAATCCATCTCCGTGGCGCATGGCGCACTCCGGGTGCATTCCCTCCCTTTGCTGCCGCCGCCACCCCGGCCCCCCGTCTGCCTCGCCGGGCTTCGTCGTGATCGCACGCGACGAGCCTCCTCGGCGTGTTCCAGCTCACCGCGGAGGGTTTCACCGCGGAGGGTTTCACCACGGAGGGTTCCACCACGGAGGGTTTCACCACGGAGGGTTCCACCACGGAGGGTTTCACCACGGAGGGTTCCACCGCGGAGGGTTTCACCACGGAGGGTTTCACCACGGAGGGTTCCACCGCGGAGCCGGCACGGAGAGTCTCGCACGGTTTCATCTCAACCCAAGTTCGCTTTGCCAAGGTGCTCGGTCTCGAGCGATTGGTCCATCATTCTGAGGGGGGTAATCGGTGGTGGGGGGCGTTGGGGGTGGGGGGAAATGGGGGTACAGGAGGGTGCAGAAGGTAGGTGGGGGCAGCGGTTGCTGTGGGCAGTGCGGCGTTTGGCACACCCCCTCCCTCTCGCTCTGAATGTCAGCCTGGTATTTCACCGGGAAAGGTCACTCCGCCTGGCGTGGAGTCGAGGGCGCCGGTGCCGGCGGTAAGGGTGGGACGGTGTGGAGTGGTGCGTGTTGGCGCCGCAAGAGATTATTACGCTAACGTGCAAACGCGCTGTGTTAGTGCCGGATTCGCATGCACGTGTGTGTGTGCGAGATGTTGCCCTCTCTCCATGGCACTCCGTCTGTCTGTGCGTCTCTCTTATTCCGACGCGTTTCTCTCGCTCTGCGTCTGGCCCTGTCCATCTCTGTTCGTAATTTCTGTCCATCTTGCTATGTGTCTGTAACTCCGTGTTTCTCCATCTCTCCCCATGTCTCTCCATCTCTCTGCATCTCTGTCTCTTTGTGTATCAGACTCAAATAGAGACCTATGGACTTACCTTGCTGATCTGTGACTAAGAGCTCCATTGCTCATCGCATTCCTCCAGTTTAAATAAAGATTCTGAGTCTGATTCTGGACGGCTGTTGTTGTCGAGGCAGCCCAAGTCCGGAACGTTCGTTAGCGGGCATTAGCGGGCGTGAGTGAGCGAGAGCAGGTCGGCACGATCGGGCAGCCGTTCTGTGAAAGCTCGAGCAATGGAGCAGCGCAAGTGACCAAGATTGGTCACTGACCCCCCTCTCGCCCCCCCCTGCCCCCCGCCCTCCCCCACGATTGCGCGTGTCCAAACTGCTCGGGCGGCGGTTCCTGCATCGTTTCAATTTGCGCTTCCGGCAGAGATGGCTCCGGCTCATCGCTCCCGAGCCCCCCGGCGTGGCCGACACACCGCTCGGCTCGTTAGCGGGGAGGTGCGTGGGACGGGGCTCACACGAGCGAGCGTGGCGCGCGCGCCTGCACCTCCCTGCGGGAACGTTATTTAATTGAACCAAATAATTATATAATTACGGCCATTAAATTGTGCTCAGCGTGAGTGCCGGCTCCGTTAATTAGAATTCCGCTCTCTCGCGGCGCCTGCGTGACCGTGGCACCGCTGCTGCAGGTGCTGCGCAAAAAATTGCGACTCGCGGCAGAGCCCGCTGACCGGGGCCCGCCGGGCTGGTGGGGATCGGCAAGGTGGCCACCTCTGACATACAAAACAACATGGAACTTGCTGTAGAATGAAGAGACACTCTCAGAATATATGAATACGGGAGGGCTACATGTGAATGCGTTGTCTTGGGTGGTGCAGTGTTATTGCGTAGCTGAGAAAAAAAACGACCCGGGACAGCTGCAGCTGCCTCCGCAACAAAAGAACGCTCCTGGGGAAACTGGGACACGTGGCAAACCCAAAATCAAACTCGCCCATGCGTTATGGCCTAGGCCAGCGGTGGAGACAAGACGGCCCACGGACCAGGGAAGGCCCGTGACTTTAACTTCATGCGGCCCGCAGCCTGACGAAGCTCACCACCTCGAAACAGCGACCCATGCACGATGTTTATCCGTCGCCGCGAGCATCTTATCCACACCGATCGGGTGCCAGAGGGGTGCATATTTGCAACCTGGCACAAATGCCATATACATCTAACTTTAACGGCAAGGGCTTCCTTTCCTACTCTTCCTATGCGGCCGATGCGTGCGGATCGCCGAATCCTGTTTGGCCCTGGGCACTGCGAGATTTACCACCCGCGACAAACGGGAAGCCAGGAATGGGCCTCAGGTCTGAGCCCAACTACACGGAGGGTTGGACGGGCGTGGTGACGCCACGCCAGGTGGCGCTGAACCTTCTCACTCGCCCCGATGCAGAGGGGGACCTCAAATGGCAGTCAAACCGATTGTTTTCGAGCTGGGATGAAGCTGAATTAAGTTAAATTCGGTCCTTGCTGACTGGGCTGATATCAGCAATGTACGACGCTTGGGAACCCGGTTGAAGCACGGGCAGCTGCTACCCGAATTTTAACCCAAGACTTCACCTGTGCTGGCTGAGCGATCCGACACGGCCATTATGAGAACCACCACCGAAATCCCAGCCATTTGTTTATTGTGCATTGGGCACTGCTCATTTTCAGTGGTGGCTTGAACCAGTGGTCAAAATTCCACATTCCTATGGCAGTGACCGGTGCAAGTAAGAACTATCACCGTTTCATTTTGCAGCAAGTGCCACTCGGTTCTAATATCAAGTTGGGACACAGAATCGCTCTTGAGTTTCCCGCCAGGAGGCCGGTATCGAGAGGGTGCCAGTTCAACTACAGGAAAGGACGACTCCTGGGGTTCACTTATCGGAGTCCCTCCTCCCCCCTCCTCCTGCCCGTGGAGTAAGCCCATCACGGTGGAGCGACGCGGCCTCAGCTCGCAGCGGCGTCACGGGCAGATAAGCGAAAGGTTAGAAAATAACAATCCCCATGTGGTGACACAAAACCGCACACATTAGCATAATGAAATGTCACCTGGGCATTCTGTCTGGCACGCGACCGCGTTCGCGAGGGGCGGTGAGGCGACACCATGGAGGCGGTTAATGCACACGCGCGCGCCAACACACGTAAACACCAACATACACGCACGAGCTAACACACGTAAACACCAACGCACACGCACGCACTAACGCACATAAACACCAATGTTCATGCGCGCTAACGCACGTAAACACCCACGCATGCGCTAACGCACGTAAACACCAATGCAAACGCGTGCATTGCGCCCAAGAACTCGATTTCAAGCGCCGTGGCCGAGATGGCCGCACCCAGATTTGAACCCAGGCTCTCAGCGCTGGAGTTCGCAATCGAACCCCGCGTCCGATTCCACGAAAATATGCGCGGTACAAATCGTGCCGATGATGATTTTGATTGTGATCGTGCTTGAAGGAGCGGGGGGAGCTCATTACCTGGGCAGGAGGAGGAGGAGGGTTTGGGGGATCTGTGGTTGGCGGCGAGGCTCTCCGCGGTGTGCGACGGGGTGTGGGCTGACCGCCGTGCGAGCACAGGGGTCGGAGGGCAGACAGTCGAGAAGGAGGAAGACACGAGGAGGACACGAGGAAGAACAGGCAAGAGGTTTAAACGCGTCACGCGAGGGGGGAAACGCGAAAGAAAGGTTAACGTGGCCAACGGGGAGCGTGCCCCGACAAACACGCACGGCGTGCGCTCGCCGTACCGCCACCGGTGGAGACCGTGCCAACTCCACTGCGCCCATCTCCACCACGCCCCATCTCCAGCTATGGCTGCAGGATTTGGTGGTACATGTTGTTTATGTCGTTTATTGTGGAAATTCGGTCACGGTTCCTATGATCACTGTTACATTGCTTTTATGGCTTTATTTTGATTTCGAAAAGTTTTTTGGTTTGGCCATGTTTGTTTATTGTAGTACGGAGTTAGGCTGATGGCCTTAATCTAAGTTGTCTTGTGGTTGTTGTTGTTTGACTTGCATCCCACTGGGATTTTTCCACACAGCGTTGGTGTACGGTGCTTTTTCTGCAATATTTTGCTGTCTTTTCTTGGATTTTATGTTTGCACATATTCACATAGTAACTTTAAGATGCTTTCTTGTTCATGTTTTTTGTTTGTTTGTTGCGGTTGCACCCGATTCAAGAGCCAAATGGCTCACAGGGCTATACCAAATAAATTAAACTGAAAAAACTGAAAACTGGTTTCGTAGCCGCTCGGGAGTGTGCATGTCCACATTGGGCTGCGTATCCAGAACCTCTCACCGCCATCAAATTCGATCCCGGGATTTCCCCGTGGTGCCCGCCACAGTCGTGCATGGCCAAAGCTTAAGGGAAGAACAGCTTAGCACACGTCCCAACCCGGAAATCCGCACTTGGATCTTACAGAAAGAGAGATATATACACACATACATGTGTTTACGTGTACTGCACACGTGTGTGTACAAAAGACAAAGATTTCCCGTATAGCCTGAACAGATGGTTGAGACAATTGCTTTTAGTGAGCACCAATAAAGGCCGGCACGGCACATGAGGGGGTGGGTGGCCATCACCACGCCTGGCCGCCTTTGTCTCCCCAGTCGCGATGTTTACACACCGCAACAGGTACTCATTTGAGGCTGAGTCGACTTGAGGGGGGCCCAGGACCGGTTAAAATAATCGTCACGGGTGTTTGCCATGAGCGGGAATCGAACTCGGTATACACATATACGCGTATACATATATTTATTATACATCACGGTTGCTAAGCACAGCCCCCAGGCCCAAAACTGTCCGTGGGCAGCAACAAACAACACTTATCGAAGTTGTAACGGATAAGAGCGTGACACGTTTCTAGAACTGAGAAAGGTTATTGTTGTAAGAGCTTGGGATGAGAGCCGATGAGGGGAGGGGGATCACAAAGCAGAGCAGCGCACAGAAAGACGCAGCACGAGAAGTCTGGTGACTGGCAGTGCGGTGAGTGAACGGGTGAATTAGTTAGTGAGTGGGCGAATAGTGGATGAGTGAGTGGTGGGTGAGTGACTGAGTGAGTGGTAGGTGAGCGAGTTGTTGTGACCTGCAGTGTGGTGAGTAGGCGAGTGAGTGGGTGAGTGGGTGAGTGAGTGACCTGTCATTCACCGCAGTGTGGTGAGTAGGCGAGTGAGTGGGTGAGTGAGTAGGCGAGTGAGTGGGTGAGTGAGTGGGTGAGTGACCTGTCATTAACCGCAGTGTGCTGAAATCAACAAGTGACGCTCATGGGAACGGTAACCATGGCAGTGGCGTGGGAAGAGTGATGATTGTATGCATCTCCAGCAACAATTAGTGGCGGCCAGTTTGGTTGGCACATGGCTTCATTTTTCACTTAATGATTTTAGGATTGCTGGCGGACTGGAACAGGCGGTGCTGTGACTCGTGCGCACAGCATAGCGAGAGGCGGCATGGTGGATGTGGTATGCCGGGTGCAACATGGACGGAGGCGGCTGGGTTGGCGACCTTTATTTATGACCGAGAAGAGAGGCCCACGGGGACCGGGAGTCAATTTTGCAAGAGAGGCTCGTGTTTAAATAAGCACGGCAAATGTAAGCACGCGAGCACGAGGCGCTCATTTAAGATGCAACACAAATCCTGTGCAGGTTGGCTCCGCTTTCATCTGAGAGTCCAAACGGTAATTATGCTGGCATGTGTGGCGGAGATGTAAAACATACACACCCGCATGCACACATAAGCACGCACGCTCATACAGAGATGCCCTCAAATAGCCTTGAGAAGCTGTTGGGTTGAGTGCTCTTAATGAGTACGAAGGGGTAGTGTGGTCAGTACCACGCCCGGGCACCTTTGTCTTCCCAGTGCTAATGTTTACACACTGCACCAGGCACTCATTTAAGGCTGAGTTGACCTTAAGAATGGCCAGGAACGGTAAAAATATTCATCACCGACATTGGTTGTGAGCGAAAATCGAACTCGGACTGCTGGGCTCGTAGCTCAGTGCACCGACTACTACGCTACCATTCCTCGCACACGCGCACATGCACGCACACGTACGCACATGCACGCACACGCGCACACGTGCACATGCACGCAAAACACCTACCCGCACACACGCACAGAAACAAACATATGCAAAAAGACAAAGTTACCCTGTATAATTCTAGATTTGAAGCTTTCGTGACTGCAAGGATTCATATTCTTAGGTTTTTTCCGGTAAAGTCACGTAGGTAAAACATCAAAATTAATAAAAATAAAATAAAATTAAGATCACGACGTTTCGGAGGCAATACAAGTCTCCATCATCAGGTGGGACCGTCACAGCCAGATTAGCTGCATCAAGCGAGGCAATGATTCAAGATGTAATCCCTTAAAAGCGAGTTGAGGTGGGGGGAGGAGAGGGGGGGAGCTCATCAGAATGTGGTAGCCAATGAATGGAACGTTCCATTCGTCGTGATCTTTATTTTATTTTATTTTTATTAATTTTGATGTTTTACCTACGTGACTTTACCGAAAAAACCTAATAATATTACCCTGTATAACCTATGCAGGCTATTGGGGCAAGTGCTGTTAGTGCGCATCTGTGAATACGAGATTTTAGTACGCAGTTTACGTCTGATTTCAAAAGAGGTCACCGACACACTCCGACTGATCACCACTGAACTCCATCCTGTATGCCAGTGTCAACAGCGATCAGACGGAGCGTGTCGGTGGCCATCGCACACACACGTACAACAACAACCGCCATTTGCCACTAAGTGGCGGTGACATCACCACGGCGCTTGTGCCAGGCTATGTAAACTGTAAGGCTACGTGAAGTGTCGAACGCCCGCTGGCAGAAAGTCATGGGACAGACCCAGGTGCCATGGGTCGACTGACTGAGATGACTGGCCGATGCACCACCTGTGCACCCTACTGTGCCAACTTGCTGTGTTTTAGCTACCTGGTGCTCCGCTCGTTGTTGTGAGCATCGCTCCTCTGCCCTCCATTGTTGCTGGAGGGCGACTGCCTCCAGCTGCCTAGTAGCAGGAGCGTCCTTCACGAGCCTTCTCCAAAAAGGATGATCTTGACACTGCTAGTAGCAGTTATTGGCAATTCCAGCTCCCCATCCTCTTCTACCACATTACTCCATCTCTTCTGGAGCCTGTGCTGCACCTGTTTAGCTCCCTCTATCCGGCCGAACAAAATCTGTTTAGGCATGCGGTGGCTGGGCATGTGGGCTACATGACCCAGTCATCACAGCCTTGCCTGCCGGAGGAGCTCACCGATGGGACTTTGTCCAGATCTTTCAAGGATTTGTGAGCTCATCACACAATCCAAGCTAGTTAAACCCAGGATGGATCGTAGGCAGGCCAGCCTAAATTGTTCTAACTGGCAAAGATGTTCCATGAGGAGGGGTCCACGTTTCGCAAGCATAGAGAAGACCCAAAGCTTCGTGTGGAGCAACGGACCAGGTAGCTTCCACATGATCTGTCACACGCAGCTTCGGGTCTTCTTTGCACGTAGTTCACTGAACTGAACACGCACACGCACACACACACACACGCACGCACGCACGCGGGACTCACAGCGGCTGGCGCTGGCATTGCTGCTGGTGCCGTGCGCGTTGAGGAAGGCGAAGGGCTCCTCGGGCAGGATGGTGCTCTGCTCCGCGTAGCTCTTGTCCATCGCGTTCACCATCAGCGTCATCTCCTGGCGCCGCCCGCCGCCTCCGCCGCTTCCGCCTCCGCCGCCACCACCGCGCTTCTTCGCCAGCTTCCTGCGCACCCCGCACACGTGACCACCGGCGAGCGCCGCACCGGCGTCCATCACGGTGCTCCGGAGCCGCCCGTCCGCTCGCTCGCTCATCAACAAGATCGACGTGCATCGGTTTCATCGACGATCCAGAGGCAAGGTCATCCACTCGCTCACCCGCTCGCCCGCTATCTCGCTCGCACACTCAATTGCTCGTCCCCAAGAATGCTCAGGAGCGAGTCTGCACGCTCGCCAGTGAGCTGTATAGCTCTTTTTCATAAGCGATCTGCCCACAAATCATAGCTCAACAAAGTGGCTCATCAAGTGCAAATTTATAGCAGCCAAATAATCTGAACGCACGTTTTTACCACTGACCATCCAGAATTCCTGATGCCAGCACGCTCATTTCTTGCGTGTTCATTTATTAATCCCATTCGAGCTATCGTCCTTGCGTCGTCACGAGACAAAGGATCCATTCGGAACTCTCGCAGAGCAGCAGGGCCCTTCGTGTTGTGAGAGAACGGCCCTAAGAAGTGGAAAACACAGAGCTACTCCTGAGACAGCAAGCTCACCCCGCTCGCTCAACAGCCCGCATGTCCGCAGCACACTTGTTCTGACGAGTGGTCCATTAGTGAATGTGTCAATCACTCGGTGGTGCATTCCAAGCGTTTATCAATAATTCACGTTTGTTAATTTGCATCTCCCCAGTTTGCTAAGCCTCGCTGGCTCTGGGCTACGTGTGTAGGACAGCAGCAGCAGCAGGAGGCGGCGGTGGATGAGGGGGGGGAATGGGGGTGTTGATGATCTGAAACAGTGGAGCTCTCTCACTTCGAGTTTGCAAGTGGAATATCCCCATGCTCGCTGTGGCCAACAGAGGTCACTAAAAGCGAGCAGTGGTGGAGAGAGAGTGGACCGAGCCCAGCGATGGGCTGGGGCGGTTAAAAAAAACCCAGACCCAGAGCTCTGATCCCGACTCCGGATGGATTGTGCTCACAGATAAAATTAACCGCATGGTCGCTCAGGAGCTATCACGCTCGTTTGGGGGGCTCTGGCCCGATAATCAAGCGCCCATTGTTCGCTGTCGCTTTCTTGTTCGGAACTCTAATTACATACACCAGAGTTATTTAATAATTTATACCAAACGCCACTCCTCGGGAGCACCGTGAGGGTCTCACTCTGGGCTCAGGGCACCGTGAGAGTCTCACTCTGGGCTCAGGTCACCGTGAGGGTCTCACTCTGGGCTCAGGATGTCGTGAGAGTCTCACTCTGGGCTCAGGGCACCGTGAGGGTCTCACTCTGGGCTCACGATGTCGTGAGAGTCTCACTCTGGGCTCAGGGCACCGTGAGAGTCTCACTCTGGGCTCACGATGTCGTGAGAGTCTCACTCTGGGCTCAGGGCACCGTGAGGGTCTCACTCTGGGCTCAGGGCACCGTGAGGGTCTCACTCTGGGCTCAGGGCACCGTGAGGGTCTCACTCTGGGCTCAGGGCACCGTGAGGGTCTCACTCTGGGCTCAGGGCACCGTGAGAGTCTCACTCTGGGCTCAGGGCACCGTGAGAGTCTCACTCTGGGCTCAGGGCACCGTGAGGGTCTCACTCTGGGCTCAGGGCACCGTGAGAGTCTCACTCTGGGCTCAGGTCACCGTGAGGGTCTCACTCTGGGCTCAGGGCACCGTGAGGGTCTCACTCTGGGCTCAGGTCACCGTGAGGGTCTCACTCTGGGCTCAGGTCACCGTGAGGGTCTCACTCTGGGCTCAGGGCACCGTGAGGGTCTCACTCTGGGCTCAGGTCACCGTGAGGGTCTCACTCTGGGCTCAGGTCACCGTGAGGGTCTCACTCTGGGCTCAGGTCACCGTGAGGGTCTCACTCTGGGCTCAGGTCACCGTGAGGGTCTCACTCTGGGCTCAGGACACCGTGAGGGTCTCACTCTGGGCTCAGGGCACCGTGAGGGTCTCACTCTGGGCTCAGGGTGTCGTGAGAGTCTCACTCTGGGCTCAGGTCACCGTGAGGGTCTCACTCTGGGCTCAGGGTGTCGTGAGAGTCTCACTCTGGGCTCAGGATGTCGTGAGCGCGTCGTATCTGTAGCACGGTTGCAATTTTAGAAAATCTCTGAACCGGTTTTGACGCTCTACGCTTCATCAGCAGTCACGCTCGCTTTAAAGCAACGGTGCCAAACTGCCTCGGGTGTTTGTAGGCAAGGCCCCGTCTGTTATTAATGGGTCCGGGCGCGATGACAGAGACGAGCAAGTCACAGTCGTGAGGCGTCACTGTGGAGAATAATTAAGTCGCTAATTACGACAAGTGGATTGTTTATGCTGCTGCAGCTATGATCGCTCCGCTCGGCATTGTGGGAGCCGGGGGGCTGCGTGCTCACGCAGAACGCGTGCGTGTGTGCGGGACTTTGCCGAAAGAACCAAGAACATGAATCCCTGCAGTCACGAAAGCTTTACGTCGAAATTTGTCTGTACGTACTTCTACGAAAGTGCGTTTACATGAGACAAAGGCGGCCGGGCGTGATGCTGTCCCACCCACCCCCCTCCCTCGCGTGCCGCGCCAGCCTTCGTAGGTGCTTGATAACAGCACTTGCCCCCACAGTCTGTGCAGGCTATGCGGGGGGGGGGACCTTTGTCTTTGCTGTGTAAGTGTACACAGGTTTAGACAGCACCGCGAGGCTCACTCTGTCGCGTGCCCCCTCATCGCCCCGCCCCCACGGGGGGGGGGGGGGCGAGGAATGCCGTTGTCAAGGCAACAACAAAAGCGGTTGCTCCTTCAAACGGGCCAATGGCGAGTGAGCGGGGAACTGGCTGGGCTCGTTTGAATTTGAGACGAGGCCGACACGCGGACACTGAATGGGGGGCACGGGCAGTCGACGACTCGGGCACAATCCCTGCACAGCGACAACCACGGAGACGAGCGCTCGCGTGCGGCTTCATAATATTTATGCGACCTGTTGCAAACGTTGTCTTTTTAATTGTACAGGTTTTTTGTTGTTGTTGATGATGAAACCCGATTCAAGAGCTTCTTAGCTCACATGGCAATTCTAAATAAACTGTTCAATTGTATGTGTACGTACGTGTGTGTGTACGTGTGTGTGCGTACATGTGTATGTACGTCCGTGTGTATGTGTGTACGTGTGTGTACGTACGTGTGTGTACGTACGTGTGTGTGTACGTACGTGTGTGTACGTCCGTGTGTGTGTACGTACGTGTGTACGTACGTGTGCGTGTACGTACGTGTGCGTGTACGTACGTACGTGTGTGTGTGTACGTGTGTATGTACGTGTGTATGTACCTCCATGTGTGTTTGCGTAAGTCCAAGAAGGTCCAGCTTCAAATGAGTGCCAGGCACGACGTGTAATTCAGAAAGGGACACAAATGTGGCCGAGCGTGGTGCTTGCCACACCACGAACCCTTCGTGCGTCATGCCGGCCTTCATACGTGCTCGCTAGCGGCACTTGCCATAGCAGCCTTCTAAGGCTATTCGGGGGATCTTTGTCTGTGTGTCCGTGGCACTCCCTGTGTGGCTTTGCGACTCCCCTCATGCCCTTGTTCCTCTCACCCAGAGAAAACCCAGCACGCCTATGGCAAAGGCCGACACACTCGACGCTTCCGCACAGATCGATTTAACAATCCATTGCTGGACTGCCATCGCCTCGCTGCCTGGCCACAGCCCAGCTGTTAAACCCACGCGTGTAGCTGCACTGACAGGTCCAGAACGATGGTCACGCTGGATGCGGTCACAGAAAAACTAATCGTGGAATCTACCGATACACAAACAAACAAAAATCGCTCAAATTCGAAGGCTTGTCCAGGAGGGCCGAGGTCAAACCCGCTGGGTTTCCAATTCCACCGTCAGTGCCCTCGATACAAACGGAGATCCACGTCCATTCCCTAACGCGCCCGAGGTGGTACTCTCCGCGGAGATGGAGCGACGAAATCTGCCCGTGTGCAGGAGGCCAGGCGAATTGGTCCACGTAGGAGACAGACGACGGAGTGAGACGGACGATGACATGCCATCCTGTCACGACGGTCTGGTCTGACTCTTGTACCACGCGTGTGAGTGTATCTGCGTGTCCGTGTATGTGCAAGCCCTCCTGCACATGTAATTACATTGTACTGCCAGGTAATTATTACATTTACATAGAGAGCGTGGCGAGTTACGATTAGAGGACACAAGGCTCTCGTGCGGAGAGGGAGAGAGACGGAGCAAGAGAGATGGAGGTTGAGACGGAGAGAGAGACGGAGAAAGAGAGATGAAGGTTGAAACGGAGGTTGAGATGGAGGTTGAGATGGAGGTTGAGACGGAGAGAGATGAAGTGAGAGAATGCACAGGGAGAGGATGGGAGCACAAAGAGTCGGCCCATAGCGGCTCTTCTCTCTGGGTCCGTGTGAACGCTGGGCGCTCGATCGGTGAGGGGACACTGTCTGGCGGCATCGTGGGAACCGCGGGCGGTGGAGCGGTCGACATTGACCACCGCCCCGCCAGACGTTTCGTTTTAAATGTTTTCGGATTTTCTTTTTTTACGATTGTGGATGTGGGCTCGGATTTTTGGACCACTCTTCTCGGCATTGCATGCGGCTGTGGTCGATTGGTGACGATGGTGAACGTGGCTCCAGGTTAATTCTATATGCAGGCTTTCACGACCAACGTGATTCAAAGTTTGTTTCTTTTGTTTTCGATCATTGTAGGTATAAATGTAATATTCATAACCCTAGCCAACCTAGTCAAGTTGTCATGTGGGTGAACACGCGCATGGTGATCTTCAACACAAATTGTATACATTTTGCTGGGTCTTTCATTTTCAGAATAATACATTTTTATTAGATTGTCGGTAAAAGCACGGATGTAACATAGCATAAGTGACCTCATCGCTAGTCACGTCAAGTTTTTGGATCAACCCGAAACAATTTTTTTTCTTCAGATCATCCCAAGAGTTGTGATGACCGGGAGGCACCCCTGGGCGCATGGTCCACATAGCGTTGCCACCCATCCTGGTGCTCCCAGGGTCACCCTCCTGGGGAGCAGGAAGCAGCGGCTGCCGTCCTCCCGGGACGTTAAACCTCCTGGTTGTTGTCGGTTGCCTCCTGATGATGATGGGCGATAACGCTACGCGGCTCAGCACGTGGCCTTCACACGCAGCTCTTTGATACATTTGCTGGTCGTGACGCGTGTCGCTTTGCACGATGCCTGACGTTTCGCTCCACGTGCAGGGAGCTTCTTCGGCAAACCGAATTCGGTTACACCCACCGACAGGAGCGAGTTCACTTCTTTCAGATGCTGCTCCCAGGCCGTCCAGGGAAACGTCGGGTGGGGGGGGGGCCTGGCGGGAGCACGAACGCAACTCGCTCCACGGCAAACAAGGAGGTTCGACGCATTGTCGTGCGCAACTCGGCGGCTTTCATTATCGCCACCCCCCGCCCCCCTCACCCCCCACCCTGAGGTTTCAGGAAGGTCTGATCTAAAGAGACGGCTTCCACGTGGTAAAAACGCACCCTAATGAAATTGTGAGCGCGGCGCGCGGACTGTGGCGCGGGAAGCGCGGCAGGCAATCGGTCAGCGACACCGGGTTTGACGGCGGCGTTTAAGTCGTTTTGAAGACGGCCCTGCTTGGAAACATTCCGTTATTATTTTTTTTCTTCTCGTTTGAAGGTAAATAAAAGAGGAGAGCTCCCAAACGAGTGAGGCCCTTTCTTTGGCCGGAGATGTAGAAATGAAGCCCTGGAGAGGAATTTTAATGTTAAAAAAAGCACCGCTTCAATTAGTTATCGTCCTAAATGTATATTTTTGTACCGTTTATTTAATAATTTATTTAGCTGGTTGAATAAGAGATATGATTAAAGGTGGGCTTCTTTGAGGAAACCTGACAACGTCAGCAAGCAGAGAACAAAGACCACTGGGGAGGAGTGCGCCCTCGCCATTGCTCACACATCCCTCTCCCCTCGCTTTCCCCGCCCCCCCTCACCCATCTCTCTCTCTCCGTGCGGCGTGCGTGCCACGCGCGGTGTCTGCATGTGGGCCCTGGGGCTCCAGCTGCCGGGCTGAGCGGACAAATGTCACACCGTGCTTCTCCGCACCGGTGGGCTCCCCAAATAAACACGGCGCCTCGGGGCGCTCTCAGCAAACGCTGTTTCACCGGCGAGAGAGTCGATAAACACGGTCCCCGGCTTTGCAAAAAAAATCCGTTGACTTGTGGGGCGCACAGTACTCGCGCCGCTTCGCAGAAATCTCAAAGCAGGTTTTGCGATGCAACTTGAAACGATGGAGGGGCTGAACACCGGCTGAATAATAATGATGAAGATAAATTAGACTTGTGCCGAGGAGCCGCAGAGGAGTCGCTCGCTCGCGGAGAGAGGAGTCAGCTCAGAGGGGCTCCAGGAGGAGGAACCACAGACAAGTGAGGAAGGCGGCGGCAGCAGCAGCCACGCGGTGGTGACGAGCCGGTGCTGCCAACAATTGCTCAAGCTTGGCCGTTCTCTATACGTGAAGATGTTTCAAGCCAAGTGATGCTTGTATCACGCGTGTGGGAGGAAACCGGAGCGCTAGGAGAGCACGCGCCGTGCGCGACGGGGGAGCGGCGGGCAGCGGCGTCGTTACCACCGCCACTGCCGCTCCCCACCGGGTCGTTTGCTCGGTAGCTGCCACCCGTCACTCCCTCTCCTCCTCCCCGTCCTCCCTCTCTGCGCCCCTGGCTTACAACCAGGCGCTCCTCTGCACTCGCCTGATCCCACCGCTCGAAACCCCCGTTCCACTCACCTCGGCGTCGCTCTTCTTTGTCTCGTCAAAGGTCAAAGTGAGCTTCTGCTGCTCCAGTGAGCACCGAGCTGGTGCTAGTCTCCTGGAAATTCCCCGTATCGTTGGCAAGGGGAAAGTCTTTCCATAGTGCAACCACTGTTAACCTCCCCACAAAGTGGTAACCATTTTATCGACCCTGGAGGGGTGATGGGCCGGTTCAACCTCTAACCAGGAGTTGAACTCATGCTTGATGATTGGGAGCCGCCCGCTCGGCCGTTGGGCCACCTCCTGTGCTGTTTGATCGTCTGTGTGATTAGCGGCGATCGGCGGCTTCGTTGGAGAGCCCACGGCCCCTCCGCTCCCCCCCCCCCCCGCGATTGCTGCAGGTTCGTGGCGGCGAGGGTTGGCACCGACCTCTCGCGCCGTGGAGATAGATAACGGGCTGCGGTGGATTAGCCCGAGTTTCCCAGGAGGCGCCGCCGTTGCCCCAATCCACCCTCAATAAGCCCGGTGAGTGGTGGGGGGGAGGGGGGGTGTTGGGCGGAGGAGTCGGGGTGGGAGGGGAGTGGGAAAGTCGTTCTGGGGCTGCGAGGTTCATCTCAAACAAACACCGTGACGGGAATGGAATGAGAGAAAGGGGCATGCAGGTGAGTGAGTGAGTGAGCAAGAGAGCGAGCGAGGGAGTGAGCGAGTGAAGTGCCACCCCATTTCCACGACCGCTGGAAATGGCGCTGGCACAGTGCCAGCCGGGGGCTGCTCGATGCCGCCGCCGTGGCCTGCCTCGCTCCGGCAGAGTGGTTCATCTCAAGCAGAAGCCGAGGGCTCGGGAGACTCGCGTAGGGGATGAGCTGACCCAGCGACGAGTAGAGAGGTCACGAGGTCAAGGCAGAAGCGAGACGTATGCCCCGTAACGTACCTCTCCCCTCACCCCTCACCCGACCTCCACGCCGAGCCGGTGCGAGCGCTGCACCGTACGACTGAGGCGAGCGTCTCAGCGCCGTGCTCACCCAGAACTAGTTCGATGACATCTGCTTCTGTGGGCAATTCTCTAGTTCAGGGCGGTGATGGCGCTGCCCTGCGAGGGTGCCGACGGCGCAACGGGGAAACGCGCGGAACAACCACAAAAGCAAACGCCAGTGGAAACAAACCAAGCTGCCGGGCCCCATCAGGGTGTTGCCGAGAGTTCCTCATCTCCACGGTATGCGTTTCCGCCTTTTCATCAACAGCTCAATCTGGCTCCGTAGCCTGCAGTAACCTCACCTGGCAGTAGTAACGACACGAGACATCGTGCTGGGATGAGGCTACGGGGGTGGGAGAGTGGGTCGGGGGGGGGGGGCAGCAAGGCACAGGATGGGACCGGCTCGGCCCAATTCGGTGCGGTTCACTGTGGTTGAGTTCCGTTCGAGTTCGGTTGTGCGATCCGGCACGAATCTGGCCAAATACGAGCGGTCGCACAAATGCAAGCCGAGCTCGTGTGGGAGCCAGCGAGCAAGCAAGCGGATGGATGGGCGGGCGTGCTAGCAGGCGGGCGGGCGGGCGGGTGCACGGGGACGCTGGGATTGCGGTGTGGGTGGCGGTGGAGAGATGGGAGCAGTGGTGCGAGGAGGCGGTGGCAGCGGTGGACTGGCGCAGGTACTTACAGGTAATGCGCATACGAGTACGCGGTCCTCCTGGCGTGACACATGAGGTGGGGGGCAGCAGAGGAGTGAGCGCACGGGGCAAAACAAACAGAGAGAATGAGCAGGGCACGGGCACAACTCTCACGCACATCGCGACTCTCCATCCCGCTAGAGCCCTCTGCGATGGCAGTTTATGAAAAAAAAAATTATTTAGCCGACGTGAAAGTGAAATGCGATGCTTTAGGGCGCGGTTGTTGAGTTGGATTGTTATTGAGATGGAGGAAATGGGAGGGGGAGGGGGCGCGGAGGGGGGTGGGGTCGCAGCAGAGGCCAGGAGAGACAGCCGAGCCATGGAGCAGCGTCGCGGAACCGCACAGCGGCGGTGGCGTCGTGCTGTTCACATTGGGCGCGTGTCGCACGCAGCGCCTCGCGATGATGTTTACTCGCAGAGTGGGGCGTCCGCTCATAGCGCGAACGATGCGGTGAAACGGCGAGAGAAGTCTTGCGCTAAATTTCTATTTTAAAAACACGTTACTACAAAGAAAACAAGCAGCGCTCTTCGTGCAACCAGCGGTACAATCCACATAGCACCGTCTCAACCGTGTTCAGGCTGGTTAACCTACGAGACCTCACTCCGGTTCTCCAAGACTCGGATTCATCATCGATATCAGTGGCCGAGGGTTGGACGAAGCTCTGCAACTGTGACCTGAACCACAAATACGGCCCTGTGCTGCACTGCGTCTTCATGCCTCTCAACCAAGGATGACTACATCTGGTACTTGTGCCGTTCTTACAGCGCACGGCTATCCAGGAGGAAGGCGGTATGATTCACAGAAGAGTACAGGCTATCAGGAGTTCCACTGCTGGGCCCCTCTGCCCCAACTCCACGTGGGGGCCTTTGCTACCCAAGAGAAGAATAACTCCACGAAAATGTCCCCTGATCCGTCTGTGGGCCACTCGGGACCCACTTGTACCCACACACTTTGACCTACGACCACCATCGCATAGAGCATGGCACGAGTCCATGAGATGATCAAGCGGTGGGGGGCGATGGGGAAATATGGATGCTGGTGGAGGCGGATGGAGGGCAAATATGTGCTGAACTTCTTTTGCACCGTACGTAGCCAACCGTGCTAATCGGAGGTGCGGGGAAGAACAACAAACCAAACACAAAAAGCCGTTCTAAATAAATTAGTTTTGATGGTGGATGATTGATGGTGATGGCGGAGGATGGAGGGCGATCGTGGAGGAAGAAGATGGATGGAGGAGGAGGATGGAGGATGTATGATAGGAAAATATCAACCCATGGAGATCATACGCACGCACGCACGCACACAAACACGCACGTGTCCTTCACGCCGGTGCTCTGCGCTTTAACCTTTACCAGGGCGCCCGCGCAGTGCTAGCGCCACGGAGCCACCGCGTCGCAAACGCACGCTTGGGCCGCCGGTGCCGGTGATGTCCAACGCCACTTAAGGCCGTGGCGGCTCCATAAATTAAAAGTAAACACGCTTTAAATGAGCAAATCTGTCACTGGGCACGCAGTGCAACCCCCACTTGACCCACGAAGGAAATGCTAACCACCTCTGTGCCGGTGAGCCGAACGCGCACATTTCAATGTATGCATATTGATGCGTGCGTGTGTGCATGTGTGCATGTGTGTGTGTGCATGAGTGTGTGTGTGCATGTGTGTGTGTGCATGAGTGTGTGTGTGCATGAGTGTGTGTGTGCATGTGTGTGTGTGCATGAGTGTGTGTGTGCATGTGTGTGTGTGCATGTGTGTGTGTGCATGAGTGTGTGTGTGCATGTGTGTGTGTGTATGTGTGTGTGTGCATGTGTGTGTGTGCATGAGTGTGTGTGTGCATGAGTGCGTGCGTGCGTGCTGAGCTATCTAGGGCTGTGTCGCCACGTGCGTTTGCGTGCCCCTCGTGATGAGCCTGCCCCCGCGGGTACCGACGGGAGATGCATCACGATGCTCCGTGAGTGCCGTGTGGTGAGCGACGTGGTGAGTGACGTGGTGAGCGACGTGGTGAGTGACGTGGTGAGTGACGTGGTGAGCGACGTGGTGAGCGACGTGGTGAGCGCCGTGGTGAGTGACGTGGTGAGTGACGTGGTGAGTGACGTGGTGAGTGCCGTGGTGAGTGACGTGGTGAGCGCCGTGGTGAGTGACGTGGTGAGTGACGTGGTGAGTGACGTGGTGAGCGCCGTGGTGAGCGACGTGGTGAGTGACGTGGTGAGCGCCGTGGTGAGTGACGTGGTGAGCGACGTGGTGAGCGACGTGGTGAGCGACGTGGTGAGTGACGTGGTGAGCGCCGTGGTGAGCGACGTGGTGAGCGACGTGGTGAGTGACGTGGTGAGTGACGTGGTGAGCGACGTGGTGAGCGCCGTGGTGAGCGCCGTGGTGCGCTGGCCGAATGCGCTGAGCGCGGTGTCGGTGTGAGCAAGATCGCTGCGTGCGGTCGCAGTAGTACGGTGCGTTTGGCGTGTGTGACTGCAGTGTGCGCGATCTGAGGGTGGAGTGTGTCGTGGTGTGATGCAATCTGTGGGTGATCATGATGTGCCATGGCGCGCGTGTGTGTGTGTGTGGCCACGTTGTGGTGGCACCGTCACCGCACCTGCGCTTGAGGAAGAGCACCAGCACGAGCAGCAGCGCCACGGTGAGCACCGCCCCGGCCACGATCCCGGCCACGCGCACCGTGTGCTGCGCCCGCTGCTCTGGGACCGGCGCCGCGGGGGCGCGGGTGAACGCCGCCACTGTGGGGGGGGGGGGGGGGGGGCGGGGGTGGCGGGGTAGCGAGGGGGCAGGGAGGGGTCAGGAGGTCACGATCCTGTACAGGGCGTGCACACAACGTGATGAACGTACAGACCCGGACAAAGTAATGGTGCATTGCCAAAGTCATTTTGCATCCACCATGACTTTGGCAATGTTGTGACCACGATTGCCATCGTCTTTATCATCATTGGTTTTGTCATAACCAATCATCAACAGCACAGGTTATCACCATGGCAACAGGCTTCGGCCTGTAGAGGCAGCATTTGTTTCCATGCGTGTTCAAGAGCACGAGAGTTGGGCCATCGATACAACTTGGGAGCAATAGCCTTGCCTCTCAATCTCGCACGCACACATCCACATTCGCCCTCACATTCACACGCACGCACGCACACACACATTCGCCCTCAGAGTCACGCACACACACGCACACATTCACTCCCACAGTCACACGCATGCACGCACACACACACACATTCACCCTCACAGTCGCACACACGCACGCCGCCAGAGAAGCCCCTAACGAGACCGCGGCAGTGCGGTGGGAGCGGCGACAGCCGAGAGCTCTCGAGCGCCGGGTCTGCCCGCCGCCGCGACGCCTAAATCAAGGTATCGATTTTTGCTTCTTTAGCAAAAAAAAATATACAAACGCACACACGCGTGGACGGGAGCACGGCTCAGCTCTTGTTGCCGAGTCGTAAACGGGCGTGCGATATCTCTGCCGTAACAGATGAACAGCGGTCACTCGGCGGAATGCCAAGATTCCACCGCCACGGCTGCACACTCACCCACCGACCTCACCCACTCACCCACCCACCGACCTACCCACTCACCCACCCACTCACCCACTCACCCACCGACCTCACCCACTCACCCACTCACCCACTCACCCACCGACCTCACCCACTCACCCACCGACCTCACCCACTCACCCACTCACCCACCGACCTCACCCACTCACCCACCCACCGACCTCACCCACTCACCCACCGACCTCACCCACTCACCCACCCACTCACCCACTCACCCACCGACCTCACCCACTCACCCACCGACCTCACCCACTCACCCACTCACCCACCCACTCACCACTCACCCACCGACCTCACCCACCCACCCACCCACCGACCTCACCCACTCACCCACCGACCTACCCACTCACCCACCGACCTACCCACTCACCCACCGACCTCACCCACTCACCCACCCACCCACCCACCCACCGACCTCACCCACTCACCCACCGACCTCACCCACTCACCCACCCACTCACCCACTCACCCACCGACCTCACCCACTCACCCACCCACTCACCCACTCACCCACCGACCTCACCCACTCACCCACCGACCTCACCCACTCACCCACCGACCTCACCCACTCACCCATTCACCCACTCGCTCGCTCGCCACCACGTCCTCCGTGTGCAGAGCTACAAAGGGCCACGCCACATCCCCCGGTGTTCCCTGGCGCTGGGAGCTGGGAACCAGGGAACACCGGGAGATCATTCCGAAACCAGTGGTACACACCGCAGTGTTGCTGTGTGTACCACGGGTTTATGAATAATTCCCTGGTTCAGAGTAAACTACACCTCTCCGTGTGGCCATATTTAACATGGGATTAGAAGTGATGCCCTGTTCCAGAGAAGTTCAGCACCATGCTGCCGTGTTTAACTGGGGGTTGGTTGGCAAAGTGTTTAACACTGGATTAATAAAGTGCTCGTCTGTTTTAACAGCTGGTGCATCGCATGACCTCGCTTCTGATCCCACCCTTCCCTCTAATCCCCCCCCCGCATTCCCTTTGTCTTCCTCTCCGCCTCCCCCCACCCCGACCTTCTCCCCGCTCGCCGCGCCCCCGCGCCGTCCCAGGTGCCGCTGGCGTCAACAGCGCCTGCGCACGCCCGGACATGCGGGCGGCGCTGCTCCACGCTCCACCCACAGGATCTGGTGCCGCGTTTCCACAGCCACCGAGGACCGAGCCGGTGCGCCGACTCGCGAGACCGGGACGGATCGCTCAGCCCGGATTCCCGCGGCAGCCGTACCGGGCGGCGTCGGCCTCACGCGGGCATCTGGGCGCCGCTTCTCTCACTTGCGTATCCCTTTGCGCCATTGCTGTAACTTATGTTTGTATTTGTGTCGCAGAGTGCTGCTGCTCTCTTGAGTTTTCATCACCTCGGTTGCACAAGTCACGTGATCAGCCGTCAGCCAGTAGCCATCGAAGGAGCGATTTGCCACGCCGCTACTCCCGACGCAACCGGCTCATCAACCAGCTCAACAGATGTTGCTCCACAGCAACATCAGCCACATGAAGCAGCGGTGATAATGCCGCATTCCTATGGCAGGGCCGGGTTTCTCCGTAGGAGAGGACACCCGCTGGTTGCCTTCCCCACAAAGTGGTGTCAATTTTATCGACCTCGATGGATGATGGGCCCAATCAACCGCCAACCGATTGCGAGCCGCTCACTCTGCAGCGGAGGGCCGGCTGCCACTCCAGTGGCCGTGTCGCTTACCCCAAGGGAGCTGCACGCTCGACTCCGGGCAACGTCTGCCACTCAGGCTGTCCGATCCCAGCTTGGAGACGTTCTGGTGTTCAGTTTGACTGTCACGTGACGGACACCTCTACAGTGGCGCATGTGGCAAGGGAGCACTGCCCGGTTTGAAGAAAGAGGCATTTGAAGGGGACCTCAGAACTAGCTCTGCATTGTCAACTTCTAAAAAGCCGTTCACCAGCACCGGGGGTGGTTGTTATGCTGCTGAAATTTCCATCCCACGACGACATACGGCACCGATAGCAGCACATTTGATAGCTTCATCATCACCATCATCAGCCATGGTCTATCCGCTGCTGGATGGCTGCCTCCTCAAATTGTTGCCATCCCCACCCGGCTCACGCCACGCAGCCCTCCATCTCAGGGATGGACACGATCGCATCGCCTCTTCGTCGTCGTCGTCATCGTCAGCCATGATCAGTCCACTGCTGGATGACGTCCACGAGGAGTTGACGGGAGAGCCAAACGCCCACCATGGGACTGATTTAGAAAAACACTGAGCCCCAGCAGGCAGCGGGCAGCCCCATCGCTCGGCGCCGGGAGCGATTCTAAAACTCGCAGAGCCCCGGCACTGCCCCCCCCGCTCCTCCCCCCGTGAATTTTAGAGGTGCCACGCCTCATAAAATTGACGTTATCCCCACGCGCGACACTAAAAAAACCACAAACGCGTTTCCCTTCGCTCTTCATTCGGCGCGCGACTCCCCCACGATCCGTGCCTTGAAATACAACCCATCTACCCCCCACCCACGCCTCGCATTTCCAAGTCATTGATGTAAAATAATCAAAAAAATACAAACAGAGTGGCGCGAGGAGAGGGCGGTCATAGCGCTGAGCGCGGCGTCGATTACACAGCCCTCCCGGCAATCTCCGCCAGCAGCGCCACTGGGGTCGCCAGGGTCGCCAGGGTATGGCGACACCGGAGTGGAACAGCATCCACATTATCGGGCAGCACGCGTCATGGAGTGGCCCCGGGGAATGGAACGAGTCCGAGATGACGTCCACCGCGAAGATGGAGCGCCGAGATCCGGTCGTGCGCCGCGTGGATCGTTACATCGCCGGATGGCGAAAGGTGGCGATGGCGGCCTTCATCCAGCCGTGGATAGACCATGGCCGATGCTGACGTTGACGGGAAGCCGATATCGCGACAATCGTCATCAGGTGCCCAACATCGTCGCGGCGAGCGGAGGGGGGGGGGCACCGTGGCGACCGCTCGTCATCAGAGCCCCCCACCCCTCAGTCAGCCCAGCTGGAAATTAATTTAGAGCGGCATGTACGGGGGGTAAGAAAACAGGGGCGGGGGGGTGTCGGAAGGAGAGGGCACTTAAGGGGGTTTGGCTCGCGCGATTGTAGCGAGGGACGACTCCCAGGGGGCTGACCCCAGGAAACCGGCTCTGAAATTGAGATCCGTCTTATCGTGAGCACGATGCCTCCAGTGTTTACTTCCCCATCGGTGTTCACACGGCTGGGCGGGGAGGTTGAGTGATGGGGTCACAGTGAGCGAGTGGGTAGTGAGTGAGTTTGTGAACGAGTGAGTGGGTGATCGAATAAGTGAGTGGATGTGGTGAGTGATTGTGTGGGTGAGTGAGTGAGTGAATGAGTGTGTAGGTGGACAAGTGAGTGGATGAGTGCGATCATATAGGAGTATGTTGGTGGGTGAGTGCCTAACAGATTGAGCGAGTGTGTGACAAAGTGATTAAGTGAGGTCCAGTTAAACCAGGTGATTAACATTTTAGTGAAATTCACCGCAATCAGTCACACTCACGCACTCTGTCAAACGGATCATCACTGGAGTTGACGTGACCCCTGATCGCGTGACCCCTGATCGCTGACCCCAGACTGTGTGGGGGTCACAGCGACGGGCGCTCGGGAGCGAGAACGACGGTGAGGAGTGGGCGCGGTGAAGCGCCGGGGGGGTTAAGGGGGTCATGGCAGCGACATGGCTCTCGAGTGCCGTCCCACGCACTCGCCCGCCCGCCCGCTCGCTTGTCCACCCCCACTCGCCCATCCACCGACCCGCTCACTCGTTTGTTCGCCTACCCACCCCCCTGCGGTGGCGAGGAAGAGCAGTAAGCGGTTTCTGCCACGGTGATTGAGGATCGCGGCAAGCGTGGCGGCGTGGGTAATGGCGTGTGGACAAAACAAAAAAAGCGCCGCGATATTTAATAAACACGCTAATGCGTGAATGAAGAGATAAATAAAGCAAGGACGGGCAATTAAAACTGACGGCGTGCGATGCGGCCACCCACCCCTCCCCATCTCCCCCTCACCACGCCCCCCCACAGTGGCGCCGTCCGTGGCGGCGCCACTGTTTTTGGCGCAATGATTCAAGGCGTGTCTTGGTACGGGCACCTGAGCGCAGGGCACGGGCGCCCTGAATGATTAATTAATTATTCACCTCGGCACGATTCCCATTTATTGAGCAAATAAACACGAGCGCATCTCCGGAGGGATCCGTCACGGCCGCGGTGGCCCTGACGGGCGGAGTGGCCGCTGCCACGACCGCCCCGCCCCCTCCCGTGCGCTCCAAACGCGGCTTCCCCATGTCGGACCCGCGGCTCCCGACAGCCAACGCGGCTCCCGCTGATAAACACGGCGCGGTGGCGTCGGCGGCGACGGCACCGCGCTCGACGCGGATCTCTGGCGTGCGCTGCCCGCTCTTGATGCTCTTCCGTGAACGCGCGCGGTGACAGCATGTACACCACGGAGACGGAGCCGTAAAACCGGCTCCGCGCACAGGCGCTCCATGGATTGTGATGTCGCGAGGCAGCGAGTGATGGCGACGGCCTCGGGGGAAGGCCTTCATCAAGCAATGGATAGACCGTGGCTGACGACGACGGCGGTGGAACATCTCACACATGCACCCAAGGATTAACAGCAGCAGCAGCAGCCTCACCAGCCGCCCCACCGTCACCATCGCCGTACAGTTGTGGGGATCATTACAGATCTCGTGTTGCTCAGGAAGAGAGGAAGGTTGACCTGGGTGACCTCGGGGAAGGGTTAAATGGGGGGGGGGGGGGGGGTGTGAGGGGTTGGGACCTGACCTGTTAGGCGTTTGCCCCCGGAGCCCTTGTTAGTGCTGGTGGGGCTGAGGCGCGACTGCGCACTCAGCCCTGTGTCCGCAGGGAGAGGGTGCGTGGGGGAGAGACGAGGCAGAGAGAGTTAGGAGAGAGTTCGGGGAGAGTTAGTGGAGAGTTAGGGGAGATTGGGTGGGAGAGAACGGCTCACGGGCAGAACAAGACATAAGCGATAAGGCAGAGGAAGAATAGGTCACTGTGGGTGCCGGGAAATCAGAGGGCAAAAGTTGACAAGGCAGTATAGCACCACAGCAAACACTACGGTGCATGTACGGCATCTCATATCAAGAACAGGGGGTGGGATGAAGACGCGAGAGGATAGCGGGAAGAGTTTGGTAGATGGAAATGGAGAGAAATTAATCAACAGGACTGAGGTATGGGGATAATGGGAGGAGGTAGCGGTAGCGAGGGCGGCGAGGTGGTGAGATGTTAACTACCTCACCCGGTATACAGGAGGTCATGGGTCCGATCCCGACCCTGATGCTGGCTGTATATTTGGGGTTTGTATGCTTCTCTCCCCGTGGTCGTGTGGATTTTTCTCCGGGCTTTCCCTCCACATTTAAAAAATTGATTCGAATTTCGTTTTTAGAGGTCAGCTGGGGAGCGAGGGGAAAAGGGGGGAGGACGAGCGACTCGAGGAGGCGGCCACGCCTGGCTAGACGGGCGCCTGGCTAGACGGGCGCCTGGCTAGACGGGGGCCTGGCTAGATGGGTGCCTGGCTAGACGGGCGTCTGGCTAGACTGGGCGCCTGGCTAGACGGGGGCCTGGCTAGACGGGCGCCTGGCTAGACGGGCGTCTGGCTAGACGGGGGCCTGGCTAGACGGGGGCCTGGCTAGACGGGCGCCTGGCTAGACGGGGGCCTGGCTAGACGGGCGCCTGGCTAGACGGGCGCCTGGCTAGACGGGGGCCTGGCTAGACGGGGGCCTGGCTAGACAGGCGCCTGGCTAGACGGGCGCCTGGCTAGACGGGCGCCCGTCTAGCCTAGACGGGCGCCTGGCTAGACGGGGGCCTGGCTAGTCACTCGCTAACGAGCGCCGCTCCTTCAGTTGGGGTCTCCGCCGGACAAATCTCACCACCATGCTGCCTGGCAAACGGTGCACCGGCGGTAGTGACCGTGACTCTTGCACACACGGGGGCACAAGTGCACACAGGCACACACGGGGGCACACGCGCACACGGACACACGCACACACGGGGGCTGATGCGCACACAGGCACACAAACTAACCTTTGGAAGCCACTTTGACGCAGTCGATCTTCACTTCCTGTGAGCGCAAGGGGCACACAAACACCGGAGTCATCGGTTGCCCTCAACCGCACGCAGAGGGCGCGCGGCCACGCCCGCATCTAGACGTGGCCGCCCACCCCGGCGCTCCCACGGCCACGCTCGCCGCCTTCAGCAACCCATGGCCGCGCGCTCTGGCGAGGCCCTCATCCAGCAGGGGGTCGACAAGGGCCGTGTGTGCGCGCGGAGCCGTCGGCGTCGCAACATCAAGCGAACAGTGTGGCAACTCCTCCATGCGTTGGGAGGAAATGTATAACACAGAGCTACTTCTGAGATCCTGTCAAGTGACCATCCGCACACCAGGGCCGCCGTGCCGACCCACGCTTACGCACGGTGATTGGCAAGGCGTTACATTTAGCCGGGAAGCGGCGGCGACGGCCAGGTGGATCGCACGTGGCCGTCCGTAGCCCAGCGCCGTGCGGAAGCAGCGGCGAGGGTTGGCGGATCGCACGCGGATGTCGCCGTGAACTCCCCGCCGGCCTCGCCCACTCACCCCGCCGGCCTCGCTGACCGCCTGGAAGTAGACGTCGTAGCTCTTTCCGGGGTCGAGCGGCGGGTTCCAGAACGAGCCGTAGGTGGCGTTGTCGCCCACCGTGAAGGGCGTGGGCACCTGCAGGCTGCCGGGGGGCAGCTCCGCGGCAAAGTAGTGCCGGGGCGCCGCTCCCGCCGGTGCATCGGCCCCGTCGGGCCCCGGCGGGTAGGCCGTGGGCCGCAAGAAGCAGCCGCCCGAGCGGCGCGGGGCGCGGCGCTGGCGCTGGAGAGGAGGGAGCTCGTGGCTGCGCCGGCGCCGGGACGCAGTCTCCTCCACCACCAGCTGGTACACGCTGGGGGGGAGGGGTGGGGGCGGATGGTGAGGGGCCGCAGGCGCTCGGGTTAAAGGGCGGGCCGAGACGCTGGGTGCAAACGGCACATTACACTGCACCAGGTACGCATTTAAGTCGACTTAGGGGAAGTCCAGGTCCGGTTGAGATATTCGTTACCAATGTTGGTCGTCAGTGGGACTCAAACTGTGTTCCCCGGGTTCGTAGCGCAGTGTGCAACTGCTGTGCCAGCTACCACTCCGCATTCACACATGCACGCACGCACACACACACACACGCACGTACACTCGCACGTACACACGCACACACACACACACGCAAACACCTGACGGGCGCGCCCTTGGCAGTGGCCGGCTTGAGAAGCACGGTGATCGTCGTCTCCGTCTCCTCCAGCGGCCGCGATGAATCGTAGTCCGGCATGGATGGGGCTGCCGGGGAGGGGGGGGGGGGAAGGCAGCGGGGGGGGGGGGAAGTGAAGATGCTGCTATGCAGTTGGCAGGGAGCGAGCCGCCGTCTCCAGTGCGTGCGGTTTGCCACCGGAGGCGAGTTTGTTTGTTGCGAGGCCAAACCACCCCACATCCCTCTCCCCCATTGGGCCCCTCCTCTTCCTCCCCACACCCCGCGCTTTAACCCATCCACATCCCGACTCGCCGCCCACGCACTTTGCGTTGCCGCACTTTGGCACAGAGTGGGGCCACCATCCAATTAACGACTTAACGGCTCAATTAGCGGTTCGGCCACTCGACCACTCCACCATCCTCTGGATCGGTTCCCCGCGCGGCCCTCGCCGCCTCCTGCGCCGCGCTCACCGGAGATGTTGGTGCTGAAGTGAGTGGTGGTGGGCAGCCCGAAGCCGCGGCTGGTGCTGGCGCGAACGGTGACGGCGTATCGCGTGCCCGGGTGCAGCCCCACAAACAGGTGCCGGTGCTCGCCACCCGACTTGTAAACCTTCCCGCCGTGGCTGCTGGCGTCGAACGCGCCGTCGAACGAGGACACGCCGCGGTACGACACCTGCACGGGCGGGGAGAGACCGGGACAATGAAAGTCTGGCACCATCGTGGCACACGGGCAGTGGCGCTAGAATGAATGCGGCACCCCTTCCCCCCGTGTTCTACCAGCGGTAGCGCGCGAGCGATCTTAAAAGTTCACCGCAATCGTCTGTTTCTGTCACGTAAACAAATGGGTGCCTCTAGACCTTGGCCAGGCCGGAATCTTCCTCGTCTCTAGCCCCAAGCTAGAGACGAGGAAGATTCCAATCTCAGACTTGAGTTTCACACTCCTGCAGCTGCCTTAGTGTGGCTCTCCGAACCTTGCAAATTAATATTTCACGAACGTTTATTTGGCATTAGACCCATTAAGCCCCCGAACATCCACCCGATGCCGACTCTAAGGCCCCTTGAGAATTGGCGTCGATCTCCAATAATCCTGAGGGTGCCGCTTCAATCTGCCTCGTCGATCCTCAGGAATTAGCGACGAACCGAAAAAATCCTCAAGCAGCTTTGGGCTCTGAATTAATTTCCCACATTAATGTTGCAGTGTAATTGCCAGATTCACAGCCACTCTCACTCTTGGCCCGTATATAAATATATTTTTACGGCGCGATGCATAAAACACACGCGCGTGTGCGGGGGTGGGGGGGGAGGCGACAGGTTCACTCAGCAACCGGAACATAAACCGGGAACACGATCCGTCACATCGCGACGACTGGCAGCGTCGCTGTCGCCGCCGCCGTGTTCTGCCAGGAGCGTAATTGTTCATGACGGGTCTGGACGATGGCAATAAACGCAATTCAGGCCCCCCCCCCACCCCCCCCCCCAAGACTCCCGCCAGGACAAACGCGTAGCGAGGGCGTGCGGGTGCGCGGGCACGCTGGCATGTGGGGGCACGGGCACTTGCGTGCGTGCGTGCGTGCCAGGAACTCCGAGGGAATCTACGAGACGACGACGACGGCGGCGAGCGGTGGGTGGCGACGCGGCCGAGCGACGGTGCCGCATTTGCCCGCTCGTTATGGTGGATCGTGGTTCAAACCCAGCGATCCCCCTGGTCAATACGTCGGCAGGGAGTGTTAAGTGTGCGTACCGCGTGCCGCCTGCTTTGCGGTCGATGTTAAAGATCCCGTTGCATAATTTGAAAGAGAGTCACACCGCAAATTACATTGAAGGTTAACTGCCACAAAGCAACTGTCAGCCTCTGCCCATAACCTTGCGGTACAGGAACGGCACGAGCACCAATGGCACCGATGATTTCGTTGTGCTGGCAGTTTTGACAACTTCTGGACTGTGCTCCGTGGCCGGATTTCGAGTGCCAGCCGTGCCCATGGCTGAGTAACTCTCCACTGGTGGCATCGCGATGATGGGCACCAGTTGACGAGCTCCCCGGCGAACATCGTGGCCAAAGTTCACCACCCTCATCACTGCCACCACCATTACTGCCACCACCACCCCTCTCACCACACTCACCACCACCACCCCAGCGTGGATGAGACCGTCTGTCCGTCTGTGTACGTCCGCCAAAGAGCATTTCTCCCCTACTAAAAAATGCGTACCGATTAATGATTTATCTCCGAGTTACAGAATTCCATACCTGCCGACGCGCAAGCGCCCGAGTAGAAATGTATAATATTAAAATAAATAAATATCCACGTCACCGCACGAACGATCGACGGCATCTTCCCAACGTGTCGTCCCTCCCAAGTGGTGGAGGTGCGGGGGGGGGGGGGGGGGGCGTTGCATCGCGGCGCTCCGGAGTGCGCGGCCGCGCCGATACTCTATTAAAATGTCGATGTGGCTTCGACTGCGTGTATGGATTCTTTGCCGTGATCTTCACGGCATTAACTACAGCCCAGCATAGGGGGGCGGGGGGCGTGGTGTATTATGTGAACGCTAATGAATCTCTTGTTTGTCGCTGTTGTTTTCGTGAACGGGGAGGAAGGAGGATTATCGATCGCCCGTGCGTGCCGAAGGTGGGGGGGGGGGGGATTGCGCTTTAAGGAAATGAACGTGAACCTTTTGACGAGCGTCGTCACGCGAGCGGCGATCACGTGGTTACGTGGTCACGCGGGCAGTGCAGTGGTCACTCGTTCACGTGGTCTCACGACCGTGGTGGAGCGCCTGGCGGTGTTGCTGGTAGTGTTGCCGGTACGATTGCTCTCCCGTCGTTACGCGGATGGGAGATTGGATTGAGCGTTAATGGCTGATGCCCCATGCAAGGCTCGTTTAATCAGAATGAAAGAGAGAGCGGTGGATCTATTAATGGCCTCCTCTCTGCGTGTGTAATTGCAAAATCGCGTTATGGTTTATTATCTCACGGCTGCTTAGGGTGCCATTGGGAAAGCTGATCGGTGGTAAAAGCTGCGTGGCTGTGCGTGCAAGCGACTGGATGGGCGTTTGGGGCGCCGCAGTGGTGAGATGTTATATCCCTCACCTGGTATGCAGGAGGTCGTGGGTTTGATTCCGGATGCCTGAATATATTTGGAGTTCGAGTGTTTTCCCAGTGGTTGTGTGTATTTTCTCCGGGTCCTCCATTTCGTCCCTCCACATTTAGAATCCACACGCGTATTTGGTTGCTATACATTTCCATGCGATGAGCCACTTCGTTAAGATATCATTTGTAGCCAGGTCGCTTCCGAAAAAGAGCTATATAGCTTAGCGGGCCTTACCTAGTGAAATAAAAATATTTTATATGTATATATATATTTTGTTTAGTGTGTGAGCACATGTGCGAGCATGTCTGTGCGAGTGTGTCTGTGCGAGTGTGTGTGAGTGTACGCGTCAGAGCGTGCATGTGACAGCGTGTGCGAGTGTTTGTGCGAGTGTGTATGTATGCGTGAGACCGTGTGCGTGCGAGCGTGCAGAAATGCCCCCGTGATGATTTATTTTTCAGGCGTGAGGGGGGAAAATATGAAAACTCCAGCCACCCACAGCATGTTTGCCCGGGCAGTAATACCCGGCTAGATTACGCACGCGCGGCCAAGTGTGAGATTGTGACCACGTGTTTGCGTGCGTGCACAGCCTGCGCTCGCCACGAAGCCCAAATGATGCGTGGTGCGTGCGCGCGTATCGCGAGCACGTGCGCGTGTCTGAGGGTCCGCGCATGTGTGCGCGCGTGTCCCACCCGGGGTGCTCGCGGATCACTATTTCTCTGCTGTCACCGCGCATCGCGATTGATGGCGCGCGCCTCCCCGCTGCGGCACGGCCGCGGCGTGTCGCTTCCGCTCGGAGCGACCGGCACCGCACGGAGCCCGGCATCGGCCCCCCCCCCACCCCCCTCCCTGTTACCCCGAGCCCCGGCTCGCCCGGGGGAAAGCAACCCCCCCTCCCCGCCACCCCCACCCTTTAACCCATCCGCACCCCATCTCGCCACCGATGTGTTTGTTTCACATTGTGCCACCTTGGGGCACAATGGGGCCATCCAATTAAACATTTAAGAAACGATTATCGGCTTGATCACTCGGACAATGAGAGAGTGCAAAATGTTTTGGTTTTAATAAAAGGCCCAATTCCGTTTCAACGTGTGCCGCTGGACGGGAGGTGATGATGGGCGGGACCTGGTAATGTCATCATCAGCCATGTCCTGGGCATGACTAGTCCGGGGTTTCCCACCTTCAAAAGGCAGATGTGGGGGGTGTGGAACTATTTTCGAAGGGGCCTGAGTAACGACCACAAACAATTTAATAAATTACAGGTTTCAGTCAATTCACCGAGTTCATTCATAAACGACTCACTGCGTGAGCTCTACTCTTGAGTTGCACAACCAGCATTTGATGAGCTCATTCAAAAGAGGATTGGCAGGACCCTCCTGAAAACGAGTCTCGAGTCTCTGTGATCCTACGTCACTGGATAAGTGACATGGTTGTAACTGTGGGTCACGACCCCCCCACCCCTCCTACCCTCCTCCACCCGGGGGTCGTGAACCAGGGCGTTAATAAATAACGAGGTGGGCCACCGCCGGTTTAAATCGCCGAAATAAAATCACATTTGAGTTCATTGATCGCAGGAATGACGCGCTTGCTGCAACCATTCACGGATGCGATGTCCGTGGTGATCCCAACGCCCCCCCCGGGGCAAGGCTACCACGGAGGTCAATCATCCTCTCGGTCTGCACCCCGCAGGCTACGTCGCCTTCTTGGCCAAATAAATTGAGGTATCAATTTTTTTTGGTCTTTTCCCCCCGCAGTTTTATGACCGAGAATCCGTTCTGAGCTCTCGCAGAGCAGCGCGGCACCGCCGTGTGAAGAGCACGGTCCACGGAAGCGGACATCACAGAGCCGCCTCCGATATCGCTGGTGCACGCGCTACGGGGTACCACTTTCCCACCCGCTCTTGCCACCGACAGTGACTTTCACCACATCACCGATATTTTTGATTCTAAAAGCTGGAATGAGGTCCATACACAAATGTTGATGTTATTCTTGAGTGCAGTCTTTGGAGAGCGGTATATCGATCATGGCTGCTGCTGCTAACGACGACGATAATGATGATGACGATGGTATTGATGACGACGGAACCTTTGGTGTATGTTGAACTTCTTTTGCACCGTATGTAGCCACCCATTAATTGGTCGGCTACGATGCGAGCTGCAGAGCAAGATGCGCGACGCGAGCTGGGTAATCGTCACACGAGCACTCGGACACGAAGCGGCAGCGCGTGGCACCAGCGGTGCTGCGCGCGGTGCGAGGCACGGCCCTTCGGTAATTTGATTGGCAAAAATCTAATTACCGAAGGTGGTGGCGTCTGCCACAGTCACCTCAAGTCAGTCCACGCAAGGCACCCGGGTCTGTCCCGTGACCTCCTGCCAGCAGCGAGCCTTCCAAACGCCACGCGACGGCCTCAAAGCGCACCTAGCCTGGCGCAAGCGATTGCGGCGACGTCAAGGTCGCGAGACGATTCCTGGCACGAGCGTGCCGTCGCTCCGCAGGCGGGGGGGGGGGGGGGGGGGGGGGGCGGGGGGGGGCGAGGGCCAAGATAAGGGCCAGGGGGGGCGGGGAGGGCCTCACCTCGTAGAGCGTGATCACCCCGTTGCTCTCGCTGGGCTCCCCCCACTGCACCTGCAGCTTCTCCTCGAAGCTCTGCGCCTTCAACGACTGCAGGGTCACCGGGCTCGGCACTGCCAGGCACACGCACGGTGACGACACGTTTCCCCCGCGGTCAGATTGAATAAACAAACAAATACAGCGAACGTCTGGCCAAGACGAGGAATTTGAGATCATCAGCAGCAGCGTCGCCCCCCACAAACGACGGACCACCTCGTCAATCCGTGCGCCTCCCCCGCTCCTTCTGAGGAGGTAGAGAAGCCGTCCAGAGTGTGATCCAAACTGTGGACGACTCGCTGCTCACCGACAACAAGTCTGCAATTCTTCAGCAAACCACCCATCAGGAGGGAGGGAGGAGGGAGCAAGGATGTGAAGGAGGAATGAGAAGGAAGGAGCGTACCATCCTCCGTGGTCTGCGCAGTGATCTCCTCGCTCTGCTTCCGGCCCTCAGAGTTCGAGAGGACGAGGCGCAGGCTCACGTTGGTGAAGGGCGGGAGGTCGTGCAGGGTCATCATCGTCACCGAGTCATCGTCGCCCATCCACACCTCCTCCAGTGTCACCTCCTGTGGGGGGGTGGTGGGGGGGGGGGACGCAGCTAGGAGCAATCTCCACACAGCTGGCACCACCACGGCTACCATCGCCATCAACAGTACCATCTCACCACGACCACCAAACTCATTCGTCTCCACCACCGCTGAAACACACCCACTTCACTCACCACCACCACAACACACCCACTTCACTCCCCACCACCACTGCAACACCCCCCAACTTCACTCACTCTAAACCACCAACCTCACACTCACCCACCACCACCATGGCAGGACGTCGCCGGCATTACCTCCGCGTGCGCGCCGAGGGCGGCGGTGCCGGCGCCGGGCGACGGGAGCGGCGCTCGCCGGGCGTAGCGGTAGCGCGCCGTGATGTTGTAGCGGTAGCAGCGCGTCACGTTGTAGCCCAGCGCCTCCCACTCGACGCTGAGCTGGCGCGGCTTCACGTTGTACACCTCCAGCTGGCCCGGCGCCCGCGTCGGCTCTGCGCAAACAAAGGTCGCCGCCCTCGCCGTCAGTGCCATCGCTCGGCGCGAGCGTCCCTTCCCGCCGTCAACTCGGGATGACGACCCTCGTGAGTTTACTGGATCGCGCCTCCACCCCCCGTGCCCCTCCCCCCGCCCCCACTGAGAAATGATCCCAGGCTGTGCCTGTGAAGCGACGTCCGTCGCGATGGCGCGACGGAGCGAACACACAAACGTACTCCGCTGCCCTCGTCGTGATTGCTGTCTCGGGCGAGACCGCCGCAGCCACCGCTAACTGAACCGAATTCAGCTCCTCAAGAACAAACTCCCCGGGGCGGGTGAGGTGAAACGTCGGACGAGGTGCCGAGCAATCGCATGCAGTGTTACCCCCGAGCACCGGTGATCGTCAACATCATCGTCATCATCATCGTCATCAACACCATCATCATCGTCAACATTGTCAACATCGCCATCAACGTCATCAACATCGTCAACATCTTCATCATCTTCAACATCGTCATCATCGTCAACATCGTCACCATCATCGTCTGCGGGGCCTGGCATGGAGGAGCGAGGGGTGCTGGAGGGAAAACGATGGAAAACACGAGAGGATAGAGCGGGAGTGAGGGGGAGTGAGGGGGAGTGAATGTATCGTGATGTATTTATGTTTAACTTCTTTCTTACTGTACATAGTCAACCGCGCTAAGTGCAGTGAGGGGTAGAATGGGGAGAGCGTGGGTGAGATAGAGAGAGAGAGAGTGTGGGGGAGAGTGAGAGCGGGGGAGTGAGGGGGTTCGGGGGGGGGAGGGGGAGTGAGGTGGAGTGAGGGGGGGTGAGGGGGGGATCATGCATTTGCCTCGGCTGAGGATCAACACGGCGATGTTTGTGTAGCGAGGGCGCGAGAGCGCGTGGCGTTAATCGTACAACGCTGAACTTTTCGTTAATCAAAGTGGGAAACACAAAGCAATTTTGCACCTGACGTGCGCTCAATTACCTGGGGAGTGCTGGGGTCAGGTTTAATTAAATTACAGCGCAAGCGAGGAAAACTTTAACTCATCCGAGCCTTCACTCGGTCACGCGCGCGCCCCTTGAGCGGACGTGCAATTTAGAGCAAATTATTCTGTGAAATCAAAAGCGACCTTCCTCCTCCTGTTCCTCCCAGACTCCCTCTTCCTCCTTCCCCGTGCCCCCCCCACTCACCCCTCCTCCTACAATCACCATGATTTCTCGGTGAACTTCTGGAAGAAAGTTTTCCAAATCTCCGCTCCCCCTCCCATCACTCTGCCGCTCAATCTCAGCCGCGTCTGTCCAGGGTGGGCAAGCCGGGAAATGTTTCCGCACCCGGCACACCACATCCATCGGCGCACTCGCTCTTGTCATGGCTACTCCGTCACCCGTCACCTACTCCCGTCGACCAGCAACCCACAAAATATTGATTGAGAAATTCTGTGTGTATATATGTATCTGTATATGTATCTGTATGTATGTATGTTTTAGTATGTATATATGTATCCATATGTGTAAATGTTTCTGTATGTATTTACCTGTATGTATTGATCTATCTGTATGTGTATCTGTATATCTGTATATATATGTGGACAGGTTTATGAAATCCCGACGCCCCTATACACCCAGCAGCCTAAATGGTTGCACCGCAGTTGGCACAAGTCGTGGTGTGGTTGGGTAAAGCAGCGGGTTACTGCCATCTCTATCCAGTGCTGAAGAGTAGGCCAAAATACCCCCCTAGAGGGGCCCTACAGAGCCCCCTCTCGCTCCTTCCCGCCAGCAGCGGCGTGAGCAGGGGATTGCGGGGCTGCGCCGTTACCACTGCTGATGATGTTCGGAAGCAATTACCGCAGCGCGACGCACGCTGCCAGTCAAAGGAAGCGGAGATTGGAGCGAGCGGAGCCGGGGTGGTGTGCGGGGTGCGGGGTGCGGGGTGCGGGTGCCATCGTCTGCGGTGCCGTCACACAGATGACATCATCGCGGCGACAGAGCCGGGCGGTCGCTCATCGTGGAGGTTTATGGTTCGAGGCCGACGGCCGCCTTGGTTAATTAACGGGGCGCCGCGGGGGCGAGGAAGAGTTCACAGACCAGCGGGCTTTGCCCAGTAGAGTAAAACTCGAGTGTAGCCGAGCGTGAGAGCCGAGCGTGAGAGCCGACGTGCCGTCCCGCTGCACAGCGGAGATCCGACGTGCCGTCCCGCTGCACAGCGGAGATGTAAGATTCTGTGACGTCATTGGGAAAGGAGGAGGCCACGTGTGCCGCCATGACGGTCCAATTGGGCCCAATTGGTCCACTCGGCCAGACTGCAGCAGGGCAGCGAGTGGTTGAGATGAGCTGCAAGGCGCTTCACTATTCTACCCGGCGTCCGGATCGTGTGGCAGAACAACGCAAAACGACATTACGACACTCATATCAACAACAACAACATCCCCCAAACATTTTAATCGTTTACAACAAAGAGTGGAAATCTCCAGAAGCAGCCGCCGACCTACTGGGGAATCTGTGAAATGACTGAACTTCCTGTGGAAAAGAGCTTCAAAGCTCATCGGATTTCTCCGGGATAAAAACAAGATTCTGATTGGCCGAGTGGGGTCACAGTTCGTGTGGCGGCGTCACAAAGGCGCCGTGCTCCGCTGAGCGCCCCAGCGGGAGAGGCCGCGGCCGCCTCTGCCGACGGCGGCGGGCGGCGCGGCGGAGCGTTTAATCAATCAGCTGAGATTAAAGAGCAATTAAGTCTCCCCACCGCCGCCCCGTCCCCCACCACGGGACACGCTTCCCCGTCAGATGAAATGTCTGCTCTGCCGCGATTTACCGCCGCCCACTCTAGCCGCGAGAAGTTTGATCCGCTCGCTCGCTCATAAACCCCATGGTGCACGTTATTTATTTATTTTGTCGATGTGCAAGCGCGCGCACACACACACAATTAAAGTTGTTGCTCCTTAATTGAAACGTGCACAGACTCAGAGCGAAGCCTGGTCGTTGGGTTTCTATTCGTCCTCTGCAGAGCAGAGAGCCACAGTCAGCCAGGTCTGTCACGGTTGATACGGGTTTGGTGACACCGAAACTATATCCACGCCCAGCACAACACATCCAGGATGCCTCTCTCTACGGTTGAGGCTGCTGGTCGCGGTGCCATCCGACTCCATAATGCCGAGCACAGGGCCAGAAGCCCAAAAGGTCAAACGCCCGGCAAAAAAACAGCACTTTCGAAGTTGTGAATTGCGAGTGTAATACGGTCCTTGAATGGAGTAAGGTGATTATCAGAGCTTGAGAAAAGAGATAATGATGGAAGGAGGGGATTCCAAAGTGGAGCCGCGCGAGGGATGAGGCAGTGTGGTGAATGGGTGGTTGAGTGCGTTATTGTGACGTGCAGTGTGGTGGATGAGATGGTACGGTGTCTGGTAGACCGAGTCTTCAACACGGGTGGAGGAATCGACGAGTGAAGCCCACGGAAGCAGTAAATGATTGTGGTCCTCGCGTTAGAAGAGTGATATAGAAGCGGTGACCCAGAAAACACATGGCAAGAAATGAAGCCCTGTGTGAGACGATGCATCTCTCTTGGTCTCCGTGTGTCTACGTGAGTTCATGCAAAGCTCTGGGTCTCTACCCCAGTTGATGGGGTCTCTAGGTAAGACCGAGGCTTCAATTTGGCTGACATTACCCGTGACCGGGAATTTAACCTCGGCCGTCCGGGTTGGAAGCGCAGTGTGCCAACCATGGCACCTCCACTCCCTACACACACACGCGGACACGCACACACTCATCTTGGCCATGGCAAAATTAAGTTGTCATCCGAGTCTCAATGGCAATTCCTCCCCCACCACCACCCAATGCAGTATGGGGTAGAGGGGGGGGGGGTAGAGGGGGGGTAGAGGGGGGGGGTAGAGGGGGGGCGTAGAGGGGGGGGGGGTGCCCACCTGCCTCCCAGCCCCTGCACCGAGAGCGCTCAACTGCCGAGGCCACTGAAGGGCTCCACGAGATTCGGCGATTACGAAACATGCGGCGCCTCGGACTCGTTAATCCTCGCTCGGCGCTCGTTGCTCTCGGCTGGAGGCCACCGCTCGTTTAGGGGCGCCCTGCAGCGCCGGGGCTTATGCCTCCGCGACGAATCTCAAAAACAAGGGTCCAAAACAAATCACGCGCCCGCACGCCCACGCATCGCAGTCAATTTCTGCGTAGTCGTAATATGAAATTCGCCCATCAGAGCAGCGGTCGCCCAATCCTCCGAGATTGGCACAATTTACTCTGCCGCCCGTACCCTACGCGGATGGTACGAGGCGCGGACGCGCACATCAATGCCGCGGACGCTCTGCAGCAGCACTCTGGGGAGCGGCGGCGTAGCCATGGGCGCAACGAGCTACGAAACCAGCCACCCGAGTTCAATTCCCACTTGTGAACAATAACGGCGACAAATATTTGAACCCGTCTTGGGCCTCTCCTAGGTTGACTCGGCCTCAAATGAGTACCTGGTGCGGGCATTGTGCTGGCCACCCACCCCCTCAATTGGCATGACCGCTATCATAGACGCTACTCGTAAACAGCACTTGCTCCAACAGCCTTTTGCTGTGCGGCTCCGCGCTGCGTTTCCGTGCCGTGCCGCGTTTCCGTGCCGTGCCGCGTTTCCGTGCCGTGCCACCACGTGCTGTTTGTTTGGCGTGCGGTGGCCGGCGCGATCCTGGCATGGCGCTCCAACACGCCCCTCACAGCGATCGTTTTCCCCGCTCATGAAACTCATGATGCGCCGAACGGCGTGGAGGTCTCAAATGTTTCTGAAAGTTGCGAAGGTGGCGCGGGAGGGAAGGGGAGTGAAGGGGAGGGGAGGGGAGAGGAGGGGAGGGACCTTGACATCCTCCAGGGTGGCACTCCCTGCGCATGGACGAGAGAGCAAGCGAGAGAGCAAGCGAGAGAGTAAGAGAAAGTAAGAGAGAGAGCGCGAGTGAGGACACCGCCGTTATGATCGATGCACGCGTTAAAATGAGCCCAGAGCCCTTGTTTTTAACTGAAGGGTAATTAT